TTAATTTTTTTGTCTTAAGCTTCAATCTATCTTTCACCCACTTGCAAAATTTGAATTTAATCCCTGTAATATTTTCTTCAAAAATTAATAAAACGTCCCTCTATGTCCTTTTTTGGAAACTTGATTTTTTTCAAAATAACATCCACACACATTTTGCCTCACAGTTTTGTTAATTTCAATCTGATCAAAACGTAATTAAGCTCAAATTGAAGCCAATTAAATTCTCTACAAATTTCTAGTGAATAGTTCCAGTATAGCTTCAGAGGTTTCCCAACTGTGAGGCTTCGAAGTATGTATTTAGAATTTGATTTTAATTAAAGTGAGTAGTGAGTGTGTGGAGGGAAATTTTAATTTTTTTTTCTTAAGCTTCAATCTATCTTTCACCCACTTGCAAAATTTGAATTTAATCCCTGTAATATTTTCTTCAAAAATTAATAAAACGTCCCTCTATGTCCTTTTTTGGAAACTTGATTTTTTTCAAAATAACATCCACACACATTTTTCCTCACAGTTTTGTTAATTTAAATCTGATCAAAACGTTATTAAGCTCAAATTGAAGCCAATTAAATTCTCTACAAATCTCTAGTGAATAGTTCCAGTATAGCTTCAGAGGTTTCCCAACTGTGAGGCTTCGAAGTATGTATTTAGAATTTGATTTTAATTAAAGTGAGTAGTGAGTGTGTGGAGGGAAATTTTAATTTTTTTGTCTTAAGCTTCAATCTATCTTTCACCCACTTGCAAAATTTGAATTTAATCCCTGTAATATTTTCTTCAAAAATTAATAAAACGTCCCTCTATGTCCTTTTTTGGAAACTTGATTTTTTTCAAAATAACATCCACACACATTTTGCCTCACAGTTTTGTTAATTTCAATCTGATCAAAACGTAATTAAGCTCAAATTGAAGCCAATTAAATTCTCTACAAATCTCTAGTGAATAGTTCCAGTATAGCTTCAGAGGTTTCCCAACTGTGAGGCTTCGAAGTATGTATTTAGAATTTGATTTTAATTAAAGTGAGTAGTGAGTGTGTGGAGGGAAATTTTAATTTTTTTTTCTTAAGCTTCAATCTATCTTTCACCCACTTGCAAAATTTGAATTTAATCCCTGTAATATTTTCTTCAAAAATTAATAAAACGTCCCTCTATGTCCTTTTTTGGAAACTTGATTTTTTTCAAAATAACATCCACACACATTTTTCCTCACAGTTTTGTTAATTTAAATCTGATCAAAACGTTATTAAGCTCAAATTGAAGCCAATTAAATTCTCTACAAATCTCTAGTGAATAGTTCCAGTATAGCTTCAGAGGTTTCCCAACTGTGAGGCTTCGAAGTATGTATTTAGAATTTGATTTTAATTAAAGTGAGTAGTGAGTGTGTGGAGGGAAATTTTAATTTTTTTTTCTTAAGCTTCAATCTATCTTTCACCCACTTGCAAAATTTGAATTTAATCCCTGTAATATTTTCTTCAAAAATTAATAAAACGTCCCTCTATGTCCTTTTTTGGAAACTTGATTTTTTTCAAAATAACATCCACACACATTTTTCCTCACAGTTTTGTTAATTTAAATCTGATCAAAACGTTATTAAGCTCAAATTGAAGCCAATTAAATTCTCTACAAATCTCTAGTGAATAGTTCCAGTATAGCTTCAGAGGTTTCCCAACTGTGAGGCTTCGAAGTATGTATTTAGAATTTGATTTTAATTAAAGTGAGTAGTGAGTGTGTGGAGGGAAATTTTAATTTTTTTGTCTTAAGCTTCAATCTATCTTTCACCCACTTGCAAAATTTGAATTTAATCCCTGTAATATTTTCTTCAAAAATTAATAAAACGTCCCTCTATGTCCTTTTTTGGAAACTTGATTTTTTTCAAAATAACATCCACACACATTTTTCCTCACAGTTTTGTTAATTTAAATCTGATCAAAACGTTATTAAGCTCAAATTGAAGCCAATTAAATTCTCTACAAATCTCTAGTGAATAGTTCCAGTATAGCTTCAGAGGTTTCCCAACTGTGAGGCTTCGAAGTATGTATTTAGAATTTGATTTTAATTAAAGTGAGTAGTGAGTGTGTGGAGGGAAATTTTAATTTTTTTTTCTTAAGCTTCAATCTATCTTTCACCCACTTGCAAAATTTGAATTTAATCCCTGTAATATTTTCTTCAAAAATTAATAAAACGTCCCTCTATGTCCTTTTTTGGAAACTTGATTTTTTTCAAAATAACATCCACACACATTTTGCCTCACAGTTTTGTTAATTTCAATCTGATCAAAACGTAATTAAGCTCAAATTGAAGCCAATTAAATTCTCTACAAATCTCTAGTGAATAGTTCCAGTATAGCTTCAGAGGTTTCCCAACTGTGAGGCTTCGAAGTATGTATTTAGAATTTGATTTTAATTAAAGTGAGTAGTGAGTGTGTGGAGGGAAATTTTAATTTTTTTTTCTTAAGCTTCAATCTATCTTTCACCCACTTGCAAAATTTGAATTTAATCCCTGTAATATTTTCTTCAAAAATTAATAAAACGTCCCTCTATGTCCTTTTTTGGAAACTTGATTTTTTTCAAAATAACATCCACACACATTTTGCCTCACAGTTTTGTTAATTTCAATCTGATCAAAACGTAATTAAGCTCAAATTGAAGCCAATTAAATTCTCTACAAATTTCTAGTGAATACTTCCAGTATAGCTTCAGAGGTTTCCCAACTGTGAGGCTTCGAAGTATTTAGAATTTGATTTTAATTAAAGTGAGTAGTGAGTGTGTGTAGAGGGAAATTTTAATTTTTTTTCCTAAATTTCAATCTATCTTTCACCCACTTGCAAAATTTGAATTCAATCCCTGTAATATTTTCCTCAAAAATTAATAAAACGTCCCTCTATCCTCTAATTTTTAGTACATGTCAATGCTCTCAATAAAAAATTGGCCTCAGCTTGCTATGCTGTTAGGTTGGTCAGTATGGACTTGGGTTATTCTTTGGCAAGATCGGTGTATTTTTCTTTGGTGGAATCAAACCTTAGATACGGAATAGCGTTTTGGGGTTTTTGTAGCGGACAACTACTGCAATCTGTTTTTATCCTTCAGAAGCGGGCTCTAAGGTATCTTTGTAGACTAAAACCAAGAGACCATTGTAAACCATATTTTAGAAGTGAAAAAATACTTACATTACCATGTCTTTTTATATTAGAAACCGTAATCTTAATTCATAAAAAATATAAAAACATGGAATATGGAAATGGTTACAGTACTAGAGCTGACGGTGATCTTCGGCTTCCAATACCAAAAAGTGCTCTTACTAAGAATTCACTGATTTATGAGAGCCAAAAAATGTATAATCATTTACCTCGAGTGTATAGGACTATTCAGAACATGAAATTTTTTTCGAGAAAGGTTAAATTGTTTTTACAGGACAGAGCATATTATACATTAGATGAATTTTATTCCGAAACTTTTTAGACTGGTATGGTTGTGACCGTTTCTTTCATAAAAACTAGGTATATTTTAGACAGATTTTAATGGGGTAGTAAACCTTTATGTATTGTAAGATTTATTTCTAGACATATTTGGTGTGACTGTTGTTTTATTATTTTATTTCACCTTTTTTGTACTTACATGTTTGTTTGTTTTATTTATTTTACAGTTTTTTGACATTTTTTAGAATGCATAATTTAGTGACTGAATATGTATTTCATTTGAATTTAATTTTTTCTTTATTTAATTACGTATATGTAAGCATTTTATATTTGAGATTTGTAAATGAGACCATCCATGTCTTTTTATACAATAAAGCATATTTTGATTTGATTTGATTTATGTCGTTTTTTGGAAACTTGATTTTTTCCAAAATGACATCCACACATATTTTGCTTCATAGCTTTGTTAATTTCAATCCAATCTTAACGTAATTAGGTTTAAATTGAAGCCAATTAAATTCTCTACATATCTCTACGAATTAGTTTCGGTATAGTTTCGAAAGTTTTCTAACTGCGAGGCTTCAAAGCATTTTGATTTTGATTTTCATTAAGGTAAATGTGTGGAGGGAAATTTTTATTTTTTTTTTCTCAAACTTCAATCTGTCTTCTACCCACTTGTGAAATTTCAATCCAATCCCTTAAATATTTTCCCCAAAAAAAAAATAAAATTTCCCACAATGTCAGTTTTTGGAAACTTGATTTTTTCGAAAATGACATCCACACATATTTTGCCTCACAGTTCTGGTAATTTCAATCCGATCTTAACGTGATTAGGCTCAAATTAAAGCCAATTAAATTCTCTATATATCTCTAGTAAATAGTTTCAATACAGCTACAAAAATTTGCCCACTGTGAGGCTTCAAAGGTGAGTGTGTAGAGGGAAATTTTAATTTTTTTTTTCTTAAAGTTCAATCTATCCTCTACCTACTTGCAAAATTTCAATCCAATCCCTTAAATATTTTCCTCAAAAAAAAAAAAACGTCTCTCAATGTAGTTTTCTGTAAACTTATTTTTTTCCAAAATGACATCCACAGACATTTTGTCTCACAGCTACATCAATTTCAATCCGATCAAAACATAATTAGGCTCAAATTGAAGCCAATTATATTCTCTACATATCTCTAGAAAATAGTTTCAGTACAGTTTCAAAAGTTTCCCAACTATGAGGCTCCAAAGTCTATATTGATAGAATGTCAAGAACCAAAATGAATAATTCAAGAGCCGATAATAATTCACATTTCGATTAATAAATATTGATTCTGAAATGAGTACATGTATGTAGTTTCTAGAAAAATTTAGGAATCCACAATAATAGTGAATATTGACAAAAATCAAAATTAATATGAATGAACAGGGAAACATGTTTAATAAAATATTAGAAAACAATGGATCAAAACTGTAAATGACAGAAAAAAATGTTGAAAAAATTATTAAAATATAAAAAAAATCTAGTTGGAATTTACAAATCGTCAGAAAATACGAGTTTTTTTTGCAGTCAACAACATTATTTGTACCAATAATTAATTACGTACCATTGTTTCCATTGAATCCACATTCCCATAGTGCCGATTGATTTTCCGTCTCATTGACTGACTTAATTTCGTCGTTATCGCTTTCTATTTGCTTCAATTCGTCTTTGGTTTCAGCCACCGATACTTTTTCAACATCGGATTTTCGTAAATTATCTTCAAACTTTTTCAATACATTATTTATTTCTGATTTGTTTGTTATATCTGAACAAATCGATCGCGATTTGCAATTTTCCGATTGGTAGATCACCGGTCTAGTATTATCGATGATTAATCGTTTATTTTGAAATTCTTTGGGCGGTTGGATTGGTGGTGTAGGGGCTTGCGGTTTTGTAACACTATAAAACAAATAACATTATATTAATAACATTGAATTATTTGTAAAAGAAACGAGAACCAAAAAAAAACAAATTATCTAACAAAATTTTAATGGTTTTGTTGTTGTAAATAAAATTATAAGTTTAGGATTATACTTTCTCCCCTGGTAAAATACTTGTTATTAAAGGTAATTTAACAAGATTTTTTTTTACAAAAATTTGTTATGGTATAAGTACCTACTTATATCATTAAAATTTTACCACTTCGAAAAAATTATCGGTAAGAAAAATTATCGTAATTGCCCATGACATGATACAATTAAATTTTTTATGGTTTAATCCAGTATTTAAAACACTTTCACTAATCAACCGTAATGAATTAGGCAATTTTGTTATTTAAGATTTTTTTAATTAAACCATAGCATTATTAAAAATAGTGTAATTTAATCATTATTACTTAAATCAAATTTAATGTAGTTTAATAGGTGTCAATTATTCTTAAATTTAACCCATTGTCCATAATTTCACATTATTTTTTTTCTTGATTACTTAAATTACGCATGTAAGTAGCCAAGCATATTATTACTATTGTTAAGTAATAAAAAACATGCACATACACAATGAGTTTACCTCGTCACTGACCCATAATAAATATACATAGATCTGAGAAGTTTTGATGTAAAAACAAAGCTAAATACCTGACAACGTAATTTCCATGAGCCTGTCTTGTTTTCGCCAAAGCTTCTTTAATCAAACTCTTAGAAGGTCTCGGCGGTACCGGTGGCGGAGGCCTAGAGCTCTTATTCATTTTAACAATAATTTCAGCTGACATTTTAACACACAATTTCACATAGGTAAAATATCCACTGCAAATGAATCACCAATTATAATTAATTTAAATTATTTTTATATTATGACACATCACATTATTTATCAGTACGTTTGCGCTCGCGAGTATCGTATAACCGACTGAATAAGGTATTTTGCAGGTAGGTACTCTAGAAGTTAAAAAGAAAGGAAGGTCGCATGCATCACGGGTCGTACCCGAGCACCAAACAGGTGTTTCTCGATCAAATATAGGGGGAGGCAAGAAGGAATTGTATTGTTTTTTGAATGTCAGTTGTTGAAAACAGTTATAAAAGCACGTGGAAGTGCCACCGTTTGATGGCTCGATGCGTGACTCTTTTACCTAACGGATTAAAACGTGATCTAGTTTTAAGTTGATCATTGAAACGAGTTTGATTTTTTACTAAATAAAATAATATCGTTCAAGGAAAGTCACTTTTTTGTAATTAAAAAAAAATCAGTTCATTTTGAATACATGCAATGTTAGGGCCTAATTCTATTTAGACGTTGGACTCGGACGGGGTATTTTCGCCTTTGCCAGCTTCGTAGCTGTCTTTGTTCTTCACCAAGTATTCGGCTAAGGCGGTGATCGGTGCTGCTGGTCTTTCTTTGGCCAAGTACGAGAGGGCGCTCATCAGTATTGGTACCACTGTTTGGTCCAGGTATTGTCTGGTCGGGAGGCTGCTCAAATCTACTCTGGTTTTTTTGGTGCCGTTTTCTTGGTTTTCCATGATTTTGAGCTGAAAGAGAATAAACATTTTCAATCATAATTATTAGTTAGAATAATCCATTTTTTGATAATGAAGACAAAATCAAACTGGTTGATTGAATTAATTGTTTCTACCAACAATTATAATTATGGTATTGGAAACTTCAGGAATATATAAAAATGTTACAAGACATTGGAATTTTTTAATTGGGGATCCAACATTTTTTTCTTATTTGAAAAATTGATAAATCACCCCAAATTTAAACACGATTTTATCTCAAGAACTTCAAGTACAAATGAGCTGAAATTTTCAGGGATTGTAGTCCTTTGAAAGGAATAAAATTCGGTGAAAGTTTCAGCTTTCTATCTATAATAGAAAAAAAGTTATGACCTTTCAAAGTTTTCCAAAATCTAAATCATAACTAAAACGATGAAATTTCAAATTTTTTTTTGTCAAGATTTTGTATCCTAATGGTCAATCAGCATACCCCAAAACTCCATAAACTAAATTATTCTCAGATTTGAAGCCGAAATCTAGGAAAAAAGGCACTCAGAAAAATTGAAAAATTCATAAATCATCCCAAATTGCTTAAGACGATTTTATCTCAGGAACTATAAGTGTAAATGAGCTGAAATTTTCAGGGATTGTATTCCTGTAATCATTTCAAAGGGATAAAATTCAGTGAAAATTTCAGCTTTCTATCTATAATAGAAAAAAAGTTATGACTTTTCAAAATTTTCCAAAATCTAAATCATAAGGTAGGTACCTACTTTCTTACTAAAACGATGAAATTTCAAATTTTTTTTGTCGAGATTTTCTATCCTAACGGTCAATCAACATACCCCAAACTCCATACACTAAATTATTCTCAGATTTGAAGCCGAAATCTAGGAAAAATGGCACTCAGAAAAATTGAAAAATTGATAAATCACCCCAAATTGCTTAACACGATTTTATCTCAGGGACTATAAGTGCAAATGAGCTGAAATTTTCAGGGATTGTAGTCCTTTGGAAGGGATAAAATTCAGTGAAAGTTTCAGCTTTCTATCTATAATAGAAAAAAAGTTAGGACTTTTCAAAATTTTCCAAAATCTAAATTATAAGGTTCTACTTCTTACTAAAACGATGAAATTTGAAATTTTTTTTTGTCAAGATTTTGTATCCTAATAGTCAATCAGCATGCCCCAAACTCCATACACTAAATTATTCTCAGATTTGAAGCCGAAATCTATGAAAAAAGGCACTCAGAAAAATTGAAAAATTCATAAATCACCCCAAATTGCTTAACACGATTTTATCTCAGGAACTATAAGTGCAAATGAGCTGAAATTTTCTGGGATTGTAGTCCTTTGGAAGGGATAAAATTCAGTGAAAGTTTCAGCTTTCTATCTATAATAGAAAAAAAGTTATGACCTTACAAGAAAATGGTTACTTAGTAGAGGTTGAAATAAATGTTGGCTAATCCAAAATGAAAACGCTTATTATTTTTCCTTTAACTTTCAGGAACTTTATTCCAATTTAAGGTTATAATTTTGTTACAGGGTGCCTTCATCAGATATACCTACTTATGAAGCTTTTATTGATCATGAATTTCAATACAATGCTAAAACATTTTCCTAAATAAAATATGTATCAGATATTAAAGTAAAATTCAGAGAAAATGGCTTTACCTATACAGTGAAAAAAGGAAAAAACACATTGTACTGGGTGTATCTATTCACAAATTTTCTTGAGTAGAGTAGGGTATCTGTTTTTTATTTAACAATAATTCTTAAAAAGATAAAAGTTGGTCAACCTTGTGAATTGTGAATAATGTCATGCCAAAAAATATCACCCTTTGCAACATTATTATTTCAATACGGATGTTATATTAAATAAAGCAAACATATCAGGATGTTAGCAAAAAGCTTAGAGCCAACGACCTAAATTTAAGTCAATGATTTTTGCTGAATCGACAAAGCTTCATTTTTTAGTTAGTTATAAATCTAAATTCGGGCGCTAAAGTGGTGCTATGTGCTTCGGTCTACAGAAAGATAGAATAGTCTCCGGTTTTTAACATTTATAAATTATTATGCCTAGTGTTCTCATCTATTAATCAACCCTTTAGTTGTAATCAATAAACCTAATTATTCTTAATGTTTTGGAACTTATTGTTTTAGTTCATTAAAACCCCAAAAAATCCCAAACCCCCAGTTGCAACAAAATAATTGGGTTAGAAAACTTGTGTTAAACCCAAAGTTATCTACTCTAATCTGTAACTAATACTTAAATTAGGTGCTATATTATTGACAAAAGTTTTTGGGTAAGTTAGTATAATATGTTAATGGTTTTGAGGCTCTATTACTAGATTTTCTTAAACTAATTTTTTACATTCAAAGGTTTTTTTACCTTACATTAAATGATTACTAAGTTTTATAGTACTTGAACAGGCTTAAAAGCAAAAATATTAGTGACGCGAATCTCTAGGATAGAATTCTGCGAGCGTGGCGGCAGGGATACGCTTCAACATTTCCTTGGGGAAGATACGGAGCAACTGCCAGCCGATGTCCAAAGATTCAAATACGGTTCTGTTTTCGTAATTTCCCTGCGAGATAAAATTCTTTTCAAATTTGGTCAAAAATTCCAAATAGAGAAGATCATCTGGGGTCAAGGCTTCCTCACCGACTACGGCCTTCATGGCTTGAACATCCTTACCAATAGCATAGCAAGCGTAGAGCTGGTTAGATACATCAGAGTGGTCCTTTCGAGTCATACCCTCACCAATAGCAGACTTCATCAAACGCGACAAGGATGGCAACACATTGACTGGCGGGTAGATCTGTCTGTTGTGCAACTGTCTGTCTACATAGATTTGACCTTCAGTAATATAACCAGTCAAATCAGGAATTGGATGCGTAATGTCGTCGTTAGGCATCGTTAAGATGGGAATTTGAGTGATGGAACCGTTTCTACCTTCAACACGACCAGCACGCTCATAAATGGTAGCCAAATCAGTGTACATGTAACCTGGAAAACCACGACGACCAGGTACTTCTTCTCTGGCAGCGGATACCTCACGCAACGCTTCGGCATATGAAGACATATCAGTCAAGATAACTAGAACGTGCTTCTCACATTGATAAGCTAAAAATTCGGCAGCGGTCAAAGCTAAACGTGGGGTAATAATTCTTTCAATAGTTGGGTCATTTGCCAAGTTTAAGAACAAGCATACGTTTTCCATAGAACCATTCTCTTCAAAGTCTTGTTTGAAAAATCTAGCGGTTTCCATGTTGACACCCATAGCAGCAAACACAATAGCAAAGTTATCCTCATGGTCATCTAATACTGATTTCCCAGGCACCTTGACAAGACCGGCTTGTCTACAGATTTGGGCGGCGATTTCGTTGTGGGGCAAACCAGCTGCTGAAAAAATAGGAATCTTCTGACCACGAGCAATTGAATTCATGACATCAATAGCAGAAATACCAGTTTGGATCATTTCTTCTGGATAGATACGTGACCAGGGGTTAATTGGTTGTCCCTGGATGTCTAAGTAATCTTCGGCTAAGATTGGGGGCCCTTTATCGATGGGTTTTCCAGATCCGTTAAATACACGCCCCAACATATCTTCTGACACAGGAGTCCTCAAAATATCCCCAGTAAATTCACATAATGTATTTTTGGCATCAATTCCGGATGTGCCTTCAAAAACTTGTACCACAGCTTTTGATCCACTGACTTCCAAGACTTGACCAGACCTGAGACTTCCATCTGCCAGTTTCAGTTCAACAATTTCATTGAATTTTGGAAATTTGACATCTTCTAGAATAACCAGAGGCCCATTTACACCAGATACAGTTTTGTAGGTTAATCTTGGCTGGGAAACGAAATCCCTAGATACGGCCAGAACATGTTCTCTGGCAGCTTGTTTGGTTGATATTGACATCTTGGAGGCTTAATTATTTAAAAAAAACCTTGTAAAGAAACTCTTGCAAGGATTGCAAGTCTGTGACCCGCAAAGACAAACTCAAATGAGATCCGCCCACTTATTTACTGCGTGATTGAGGGATAGTCTCACACTGCCACACACACAAAAAAAACTTCTTAACTAAATGATGAATTATGCACTTACAAGTTGGCTAAACAGCTACTTAATAAAACTGAAGCCCGATTCATAAACACCACTGTTTCCGTCACCGTTCACCGCTGCCGTTTCTGTTTCAACTTCATAGATGCGTAATCAGTGTAGTGTATGCATTCATATCCAACGTTTCCGTTCGTCGTTTCTCTTGGGAACGGCACCGTTCAACCTTGGCGAACTTTTAACTCCACCGTTCGTCATTCGTGCAGTAGCCAATTAAATTAGACAATTTTGGTCATGTGATTCAAGATAAACATTTTGGGTTATGTATGATGTTGTTTTTGTCATTGAGTTTGTACAAAAACTAGTTATTTTCTAGAGTACACACACGAGACTATCTATATCAGGATACGACAACAAGATAAATCTAATCTAAAAATGTATTCAATATGTCAGCGGGAACGGCAGCGGTTTAGAGTTTATGAATGCTCATTATTGCCTCCGGAACGACACGAACAGCTACAACGAACGGGAATGGTGACGGAGAGTCTATGGATCAGGCTTTAAGAGAAAAATTGTGTATTATACGAGGCATTATACACTATTAGCTGGCTAATAAGGCCAAATTATGGACCGACTGGTAACGTTTTATTGGCAAGATAAATTTGCCCAAGACGTTACCAGTCGGTCCATAATTTGGCTCTTAAACCAATAATTACCAGCTTCTATGCTTTTTTGCTTACCTTTTTGCTATCTAGATGCAAATTTCTTCGATAATTCGCTTTTCTTGTATGAACAACCCCTTAAAAATTTCAAAAAGGTTTTCGGGATCTTCTTCTGGCAATCGATAATCTCTAGTTACCCTTTTTCCTTTCAGTTTTCTCCAAGAAATTTATTATTTTTATTTTTGTTTGCTTTTATTTTTATTTGAGTTCAACTGCCATAACGTTGACACTGTTGACAGTCCACCATTATTTATCAGTCATTTCGATTTCCTATGTACTAGACAAAGAAAGACATCGCTCCGTTGAGAAAAAGACTTACCCTAAGGAGCAAACGCCAGACAAATCCACATAAAAAAAGAAGAATTTTAATGCGTTGGTTGATGGTTCACGTTGTTAATTTGATAGGTGCTTGGTTCTTGTTGTTTTTTGCAATTTTTATTAATTTCGTCCGCAATTTTCTCGATTATTGTGGATGAAAATGACTTCTCATCGTATCCCGAATGATATTTGGGAAAACTGGGACAAGACTGGCAAACAGGAATAGTAAGTTTCTTTTAAATTTCTCTATAATCAAACAACCAAGGTTAGGAATTTGAAAAATATATAATTTTTGCCATTTTACCTTAATTTCTATATTATAATATAAGGGGGCTTTCAATAGGAGCTTAAACATCAAGTCCCTTGAAGCTCCAACCTAAAAATCTCCTGCCTACTTTTTCTCCAATATACATTTTTGGTAAAAATACCATACATACAAGAGCCTCTTTCCATAAGAAATAAGTACTTAGGTTTTTTTTTTGCATAGATTAAAGATAAAATACCTTCTTGATCTTGTTTTGCTAGAATAATTAAACTTTATTTTTTTCTAGAAACATTTAGGTATTCAAGAATTCAAATTTACAATTTGTAATTTTATACTTTATATTATATTGGTCAATTCTTGGTAAAATTTCTATAAATAGCTTTTCGATGATCTGTAACTTTTACGGTAATAATATTGTAAAATTGGCATTTTGTGATACTTTATTTAATGGTCTTATTAACCACACAAACACAAATTGTATGACGCATTTGATTGCTAAAACACTGGACCAGAAATATTTATGATTTTCTGTAAGCAATAGGAATTATTGCAAATTGTCCCTTATAAAACTTATAGAGAAAAGTATTTATTTATTTATTTATTTACGGGTAACCCCCATTAATAGTTATAATATACAACAAAAATGGTTATGACTCTAGATTGTTATGAATTAAATCTAAAAATATGTATCACTTCAGAGTTTCATTTACATACTAAAAAGTAATCCTATACAAATGATTTCGAAATTGAGACAAAGTTAAACCAAATATTTCTATGTGATAATAATTAATTAACTTACAATATCTATCTATTGGTGAGTTTTGACCATAGTTAGTACGATGATAGGGAATGTTAAAAGACACAAAATCGCCTCTTCTATTTCTAGTCGGTGTGTCTATATTTATGCATAGCAGGAGATCAGCAGAATCAATCATACCATTGACCAACTTGCAAACAAAAATCATTCCAGCAGAGTTTCTCCGGTTAGAAAGGGTTTTCACTTTCAGCTGATTTTCAATGGCAGCATAATCATGATCAACAATCACAAGTCCTAATCTGAATGCACAATGTCTTAGAAATTTGTGCTGAATCTGTTCAATAGTTGCTTTGTGAACTGCATGATATGGTGACCATACTACTGAAGCATATTCCAGCTTCGAACGCACCAAAGAACAATAGACACTCCTAGCAGTTTCAAGTGAAAAGTTTTTACAGTGTCTTAAAACAAAACCCAATAGTTTAGACGAACTCACTGTGAGATTGTGAATGTGACCTACAAAACTCAAACTTTCATCAAATAATACCCCCAAATCTTTAACCTTGGAGACATAAGTCAGAGTTTCGCCATTTAATGTATAGGAAGTGTCAAATTTTTTCTTGCCTTTGAAAAAACTAATAAAACAACATTTGTTGACATTCAGATAAAGCTTGTTGTCTGTGCACCAGCCCGTCAGCCTGTCAAGATCGTCCTGCAAAAGCCGTTGATCATCCATACAATTTATGATTCTATATGCTTTAAAATCATCTGCAAATGCCAGCCCGTCACTGTTCTCAAAACACTCAAATATGCTGTTAACAAAAAGATCAAAAAGCAAAGGAGAACAGTGGCCCCCTTGGGGAACTCCTGAGGTGACATTAATAGTATCTGATTGAAAAGAACCAATTTTGACCATCTGCAGGTGACCCGACAGAAAACTACTAGCCCACTTAACTGATTTGATACCAAAGCCCATATTGAAAAACTTCTTTAAGAGTATCTGGTGGTCTACCCGATCAAAAGCTTTAGAAAAATCTGTATAAATCGCATCAACCTGATTGAAATTTTCTAAAGCAGAGATTATTTTATTTTGATATAGAAGCAAGTTGGTTGTGGTAGACCGGCCAGAACAAAAACCATGCTGATTACTATTTATCAGACTTCGACTAATCCACTTAAGCTGATCTCCCATTAAACTGTCAAATAGCTTTGCTATGGATGACTGTATACACACACTTCTGTAGTTGGTGACATTGTTTATTTCTCCACTCTTATATATAGGTACAATAAAACTGTGTTTCCATTTGTCCGGGTAGAAACAAGAATCTAAGGATCTCTTGAACAGGACATGCAATGGCTTGACTAATAAACATATAGACTTTTTTAGGATTATATTAGGTATTCCATCCGGACCTTTTGTATTTTTATTTGGGAGATTACATATCTTATTAAAAATATCTTCTATGGAAACATGAGAAAAATTGAAGCACTCGGAACTCACGTCAGACGTTTCAGAAACTATCCCCTCCAAATCAAGATTGCTAGGAGTGTAAACTGTCTCAAAATATTGTTTAAACAAGTCCACAATATCTTGGCCATTTTCCGCCAAACGACCATTATAAAACATTGATTGAGGAAGGGTGTGCGAACTTTTTAAGTTCCTTATGTATGTCCAGAAATATTTTGGATTAGCTTTAAATTCATTATCAACATTATTAAGGTATTGAGCCCAACATATTTCTCGAACCCTCTTACACTCCGAACGCAACCCTGAAAACCACACATAATCAAGAGGAGATTTAGAATTATTATAAGCTTTATGAGCAATCTTTTTCTGGAACGTAAGACTTCGAAGCTCTTGTGAAAACCATTTTGGAAATGTGCTTGTGTGATATTTTTTTAAAGGAACATATAGAGCAATACCCATCTCGAGAATTTCATAAAAAGAATCCAAAGCTAAATTAATCTCATTATGTGAAAGGCATTGCTCCCAGTTTATACTAGCTAGAAAATTGTTCAATCCCAGAAAATCAGCGTTACGGAAATCATGGTAGAGATCAAGAAGCTGAAGGCCTTTACTTCCCTGACTTTTACCCATAATTAAACAGCATTCGTAGCTAACATGATGTAAACTATTATCAAAAATAATATCCCTAGCTAAACTAACTACAACGTTGCTATCATTAGAAAACATCAAATCTAGGAACACATTTCTATGATTAGGAATATTAATACATTGAAAAAATTGCAAGAAACCAAAAGATTGAGCAACCTGAATAGCCGCGGATGCAGCTGGACAGTCAACTCTCACTCCAAATCCATCATTCGACCAACTTGCCTCAGGTAGATTGTAGTCACCAAAAATATACATTTTTTGAGATTTGCAAGACTCAAGAACATGCTCCACAGACTCACAGTGCATGTTGTAGTAAATATTTGGCATGTTGGGTGGTATGTATACCCCAGCAATCACAAATTTGTTCCCATGGAAGCTACATGCGACAAACAGCTGTTCTACATTGTGCTGGTTTATGTAAACTCTCATAGAGCTGATTGATTTCCTAATGTATATAAGTATACCACCGCCGCTAGATTTTTGACTAGTAAGATGAGACCGATCCAAGCGGAATAAATTAAAATCACAGCACTCTAGCTCACTGTCCATGAAGTTATCACATAAATTACTTTCGACTAGTACAATAATATCATATGAAGAACTATTTACTGCTAATTTCAGAAGCTCAATCCTTGTACGAAGGCCACTGACATTTTGATAGTATACCATTAATGGGGAGGTAGTTAGTTTTCCTGATTGCTTGCCTTTTTAGTGACTACCACTGGCATACCTTTAATATATCTGATGACTAGGTCTTCCCCTACATCCTTTCTTCTTGCAAGTTCTTCACGAGCTTCTTTGTAGGCAGCCTGCTGCATTTTTGTACAATCATATGCTATTTTGTAAGCACTGGACGCCAGTTTCTGTTTGCATCGAATGGTCTTTCTAATGATATCAGTATTATTGCATATTAACTTCAACGGTCTAGGCTTTCCATCAGCCCTTTTCTGACCCACACGGATGACTTTGCTAATAGCAGCAATTTCATCCTGGAAGCCAAGAGCAGTGAAGACTTCTTTTGCTATTTTCATGTCATACTCAATTCTGCTTTGAAGAATATTCTCAGCAGATTCTTGGGTACCAAATACCATTAAATTATTCGCTCTCATTGCGCGCTCACGTCCTTCTAACAAAATCTCTTCAATATTAGCAGCTGGTTTAGTTTTCAGATTTTGTATTTCAATATTGAGAGTATCCACCTCTTTTTGCAGCTCTTTAACCCTCCTTATAACCATGGGGGCTGACTTAAATGCATCACGACACTCCGGACAGAGGAACATAAGTGTCCTCTTCAGTAAAGATTTGCTTATAGATTTGCCCAGAATTGACCCATAATTATCCTTTAATCAGAGGTAATCACTGGTAACATGGATACAAATTTAAAACTACAGTGATTAACATGCATCTCGCCTTCCTCTTTCTACTCCAAAATGTTCCATCAACTTGTTTTTCTATAAAATATCAAAATGTGACAAGAGTGGTGTATCTTCATCATTTGAATTATTGGAAGTTGATTTTTCTACAATTTATTATGTTGTTGATTTCCACTGGATCAATTTGAAATTTTAGTATAATGAACTCCTATTCTTCCCTTTTGTGCTCTAGAAGTTTCAAAATTTTGCCTCAACTTGTTTTTCCAAAAAAATATGAAAATGTGACTCGAGTGTATTTTCATTATTTAGGTTATTGGAAATTAATTTTTGTGCCCTAATGCGTCCTTTGGAATTCCCCAAACTCAGGGTTCGCATACACAAAAACCTATTTCATCTAATTAACTGCCCTTATTTGGAAAAAAAATTAATAAAAAACTTCTCATTCTCGATCTCATTCCTACCATAGTGACAAAATCAATGAAAAATCTACGATTATCCACATTTTAAAACAAAATAAAAAAATCTTCCAAGGAAAAATAGACAGATAATATTTATCAAACAATTTTTAAAGGAACTTTTCTTTAGATAACTACTTGTAATTACGTAACTAAAAAAAGGGAACATTAGTCTTTGGCATCATTTTCATATTGGGAAAGTTTCATAATCCTAACAAGTTTCTTTACTTTTTCTAATTAGCCTATCCAAAACACGTGACTTTGACAAGCAATGGTTTGTGTGCCTCTTGGCGGACATTTTAATTTTAGTTTGACAGCACCTTGAATAGTCAGCCTATCCAAAACACATGACAAACAAAGGATTGTGTGCATCTTGGCGGACATTTTAATTCAAGTTTGACAGCATCTTGGATAGTCTCATATGCAATTTTGAGTGGAGTTCAGAGTTTGGGGTTATGTGGAAGGCAAAAACATAAAAACCCTACAAAAACACAAAAAGTGTCACAAAAACCAAAAATTCCAATAGAAATTTTCAAAAACTTGGGTTTTTGCCAACCCTGCAAACTCCATACGACCGTCTAAGTATTTGTGATGTTTTTTTTTTCGATTTTTTGATTCTCTTTAATTGTATAACATATCCCTAACATTAAATTAAAAATATTGGGTACCTACATTTACAGCACATACAGATGTTTATAACATCTAGGTGCTACAAAATAAATCTTGTTTAATATGAACTTAATTAAGAGCAAATCCTTACAACTTATTGTGAATCAAAACTTGTAAGTATGTATGATCAAATAAATAAAAATAAAAATAAATAAAAATCAAATTATAATAAATATAAAATAAATCACCACAAATTGCTTAACAAGACTTTATTTCTGGAACCATAAGTCCAAAGGAGCTGAAATTTTTCGAGATTGTAGTCCTCTACTGGGATAAGAATCGCTGAAAATTTCAGCTTTCCATCTATAATAGGAAAAAAGCGGTTAACTGTTAAATCAGTGTACAAATGGACTTAAGTAAATCACTTTAAATCCCTTATTAAATCACATAAATCATCTTGTGTTGCTCTAAATCAGATTAAATGAGGTTAAATCCCTTCAAATCTCTTTAAATCCCTCTCAAATCTTTTTAAATCAATTAAATCCCTAAAAATCTGCGATCCAGAACACTTTACTTAAATCCCTAAATAAATTTCCTTAAATCACCTTAATTTTTTCATAAATCATCAAATCATGTTAAATCAGGTCAGATCAATTTAAATTTTCTTAAATCTCTTACAATCCCTTTAAATCTTTTTAAATCTAGGTAAATCTGTTTAAATCCCTTTAAATCTTTCCATATCTCGTCAAATATTTTTATATCTCGTTAAATCTCTTTAAATCCTTTTAAATCTTCATAAATCTTCATAAATCTCCATAAATCATCTCAAATCGATAAAAAAATTGTTAAAATCCCGCGCAAACTTTGGGCGACTCCAACTCGACAAACCTCGAGGTGCAATCGTTTATATTCGTTTGCGGCTTGCGCGTGTGTGTTCTCGGGTATTCTCATTTAGGCTAAATGGCCGTCGTAAGTTGGAATTTCTTCCTAAGAAAAAGGAAGAAATTCCAACTTACGATGGCCATTAAGCCCGAATAAAATAGTTATTTTCCTAACAAGTGCGCAAAGTGCAAAAAGCAGTTAGACGAACGACGCGAAGCGGAGTTTGGATAAGCTTTGAGTGCGGGAAAGACGCTTTGCGCAAGTGTAAGGAACAATATTTTTTCTACGAGTATCTTAAAAAAGTAGACTTTGGATTGTTAAAATATTAGAAAAATCAATCAAATCAAAATCGTTTAGAATCTATTGGAATTCCTCAGATTGTCTTTTAAATTAAATCCCCAAAATTCTTTTAACATCTTCTGGAATTTCTAGAATACCAGCTAGAATATTTTCATAGGAGTCTCCTAAATATCAAAAATTCTACAAATTCCTAGCAGTACAGGCTGGTCCAATTGAGTGTGCAAAGTGATTACTTTGCGCACGCGAGTAGAAAAACACCTTATCAATAAACCTGGGTCGCAAAAGCCTCACAAACTTTATTAGTTTTAGATTTTTTTTTATTAGTTCAAAATTTAAATTGGACTATTATGAGAGCGAGAGTACCCACTAGCACCAAAATATCTGGTTATTAGATACATTTTCATCTTCTCAGGATTAAATTAATTACCTTGAATCATCCCAGGTTAAATCAGTTCAAATCGAGGTTCAAATCTTAAAAAAATCTTTAATCCATTTAAATTTTCTTAAATCAGCTGAAATCTTTTTAAATGATCCAATAAATCTTTAAATTACCTTAAATCACCTTAAATCAGTTAAGGTCTGAATAAAAATCTCTTAAATCCGATCAAATCTGTTAAATCAGGTAAAATCAAGAGTGATTTTAAATCGGTGTACACATTTTGAAGAAGTTGACCGCCCCCCGGTTATGACCTTTCAAAGTTTTCCAAAATCTAAATTATAAGATACTTAGGTAGCTAAGTTAAGTTAAGCTATCTCAGTAATAAAACGATGAAATTTCAAATTTTTGTTATTGAGATTTTACGTCCTAATGGTCTTTTGGGATTCCCCAAACTTCATACACTAAATTATTTTGAGATTTGGAGCCAGATTCTATGAAAAAAGGCACTCAGAACAACTGAAAAATTGATTAATCACCCCAAATTGCTTAACACGATTTTATTTCTGGAACTATAAGTCCAAATGAGCTGAAATTTTCAGGGATTGTAGTCCTCTACCGGGATAAGAATCGTTGAAAATTTCAGCTTTCCATCTATAATAGAAAAAAAGTTATGACCTTTCAAAATTTTCCAAAGTCTAAATCATAAGGTACCTTCTTACTACTTAAAACGATAAAATTTCAATTTTTTTTTTATCAAGATTTTGTATCCTAATGGTCAATCAACATTCCCCAAACTCCATACACTAAATTATTCTCAGATTTGAAGCCGAAATCTATGAAAAAAGGCACTCAGAAAAATTGTAAAACTAATAAATTACCCCAAATTGCTTAACACGATTTTATCTCAGGAACTATAAGTGCAAATGAGCTGAAATTTTCTGGGATTGTAGTCCTTTGGAAGGGATAAAATTCAGTGAAAGTTTCAGCTTTCTATCTTAATAGAAAAAAAGTTATGACCTTTCAAAGTTTTCCAAAAAAATCATAAGAGGGGTACCTTCTTACTAAAATGGATGAAATTTGAAATTTTTTTTGTCAAGATTTTGTATCCTAATGGTGAATCAACATACCCCAAACTCCATACACTAAATTATTCTCAGATTTGAAGCCGAAATCTATGAAAAAAGGCACTCAGAAAAATTGAAAAATTGATAAATCACCCCAAATTGCTTAATACGATTTTATCTCAGAAACTATAAGTGCAAATGAGCTGAAATTTTCAGGGATTGTAGTCTTTTGAAAGCTACCTCAGTACTAAAATGAAAATTCAATTTTTTTTTGTTGAGATTTTGTGTCAGAATTTCTTAGGTCGTTGTTTTCCACTAGATCAATTTGAAATTTTATTAAAATAAACTTTTAACCTTCCTGTTTTTACTCCAGAAGTTTCAAAATTTTCCCTCAATTTGTTTTTCTAAAAAATATCAAAATTTGATAGAGTGTATTTTTCTCGGTATTTTCATTATTTCAATTATTGGAAGTTGATTCTTCTAGATTTTCCTATGTCATTGTTTTGCACTGGATCAATGTGAAATTTCATTATAATGAACTCCTAACTTTCCTTTTTCTCTTGTGAGATTTGAAGCCGATTTCTTTGATTCTAAAGATTATACACAACAAGCTAACTTTACTCTACAATTTACATTATACCTATGACCAAAGGTACTTATAATAATTGTCAAATAGAATTTTCTTTTCATTTTCTGGAATATTTCACTACTTCTTGATAAAAATTAGGCCCAAATAACGCATTCGAATCAAATTGAAGCTTATAGCTTTACAAAACTTTTCCTAGGTGTACCAGATTTTCTATGATGAAGTTGGAAAAAAAAAACATGTCGAAAATAAATGTAAATTAGCATTTTCTGCAAAAATTCTCTTTCACATAATCAAAATCAACTAAAACTATTTCCAAAACTATATTTTCTAGAAATTTTGTATACATGAGGCTCGGTTTATTCATCTTCAGATAAACTTGCTGGTAACTATCTACAAGATAAATTTACCATTTACTTCAACTTTATCCTATTTTTGAATTTCTTTTAAATTCTCCTTTCCTTGCTTTTCCCATGATTCCTCTATGACAGCATCTTATGAAACATTCTAAAGCTGCATTGAAATTAATAATTTTCCTTATAAATTCTTGAATGAAGGAAAAAATTTCAAAAACTATCAGCTAGAAGTTGTTGAAGCTAGAAACTTGTTCTATTTCAGCATGAAATTATGTTTAAAAAGTCTAAAACCTGATGGTACTACTCCAGTTTTTGACAAGGGCCATCTGCATCCTCTAACTTTATACCTCACCCAATTGGTGGATAAAGGAATCAAAGGCGATTTGAAAAAGCACGCTATTACAATGGTTTTACAAGAATTAGCAGTAAGTATCCAAAAATTTACAATAAATTCATCACAATACATTTTCCAATCAACAGGCTCTTCACAAAAACGTCGCAACAGTTATTTGTGACGTGTTAAATGCAGCGGACAGTCTAAGTTCACAAATGGACGGGGAAGAATCGAAATATCGCGCGAATTTTTGCGCAATCGTAAAAGCCAGCGAAAAGTTCTTATCAGACAAACTTATCAAGGAAAGAATGGAAATTGAAACTTTACAAGAAGTCGGGCTATTAAAATCTCGCACCTTTTACTCAAAATTCATCAAAATTAAAACAAAACTCTATTACAAACAAAGAAAATTCAATTTGTTTAGAGAAGAATGTGAAGGATATGCCAAATTACAAACAGAATTAAATAAATCGTTTTCTGGAAATACAAATCTAATTGATGTTGTACATTCTTTGATAGGATGCTTCAATTTGGACCCCAACAGAGTTCTAGATATTATTTTAGAAAGTTTTGAAAACAAACCCAAAGATGCTCATATATTTGTACCTTTAATCAAATCCTATATAAATGATTCTTCGATTATTAGCGAAGTCTTATGCACTAAATTAGCATTTTTAAAAAACTCAGATGAAGAAATTCCAGCAACATTTTACATTCTAATTGCACATTTACTGCAACATAATTTAATCAATCTGGAAAATATATACTGCAAACTAATGCCTGATGATAAAGTGGTAGAAAAGGATTGCGAAAAGGCTATAAAAGATGCTGCAGAGTATGTGAGAAAACTACAAATTATATCAACTAACAATAATAAAGAAGAAGAAAATGAAGACCAGGATACAATAGAAGATATTCATGCAGGGAATCAAAAATTGAAGCTATGTGAAGCTTTATTGTTAATTGGAGACTGGAAACACGCAAAAATCATTATAGATTTATTGCCCGAGCATTATTCAATGGGATATGAACCTGTTGCGGTGGCTTTGTGCCAGTTATTACACAGCCTTATTGAACCTCTGTTTTCAAAGTAAGTATAACAAATTGGTTTTGAAATATTATTAATTAATTGTTTTTAAGATATTGTATGTTGGGGCCTGATGTGAAGCGGAAACCAGTAAAGAAACATGAAAATCCTTTGGCTCCACCTCAAGTGACAACTTTTGAGGATATTAAAATAACTGTTAAACCTATGCTGCTGACTTTGGGTTCATCATTGCATTATGATGCTGTTTTATTGAGTAATTTTTTTCTATAAAAGCTTTTGATTTTTTATGAGAATTGTTTGTTTTAAGGTAAAATCATTCGATTATTCAAGGCAGCATTGCAAGAAGCTGGAACATCATCCCCTTTATATCACGATATAGTTTCCATATTGGATATAACTATATTTCCTTCTTTGTCCTATTTGGATTGTAATTGTTGCATTTCTGAAGAAATATGGAGTTTAATTAAAATATATCCATATCAGATAAGGTAGAATTATGTATTATTTGTAAATGATTTTTAATAAATAATGTTTTTAGATATTGCTTGTATTCGAGATGGAAAAACGACACCTTTTCAGCATACCCTGAACTAATGAGAAGGCGTGGCGATGCCGAAAAGAAAATTAAAAATATTATGAAAAGAGTTAGTAAGGAAAATATAAAACCTGTGGGAAGGCTGATAGGCAAATTGACCCATTGCTCTCCTGGGTTTTTATTTGATTATGTGCTGTTGCAAATTCAGGTTTACAATAATTTAATTAATCCTGTGGTTGATTCTTTGAAGTATTTGACCAGTTTGTCTTATGATGTTTTGGGGTATTGCTTAGTTGAAAATTTAGCTATGGCTGATAAGAAAAGGTAAGTGTGATTTTTTATAATTGAATCGATTAATGAATTTTTTTTTTAGGGTGAAACACGACAGTACTTCAATTTCCAGTTGGCTGCAAAGTTTGTCTTGTTTTTGTGGCGCTGTTTATAAGAAATATTCTATAGAACTTACAGGACTGTTGCAGTATGTAGCCAATCAACTCAAAGCACAAAAAAGGTGAGAACTTTTTCCTCTTCTTTATTTCTATGTACATTGCGATTTCAACAATGGTACTTTACTACTAACCTGAGAAATAGTCATTATCCAATCTATTTTTCTAGGAAAAAATTGAATTTCTCTCCCTAGGTTAATAATGAAAATAATTAAAAAATACCTAGGTAAATAATGAAAATAACGTCATGACGCAAGGATATTGTCATGTTTTTATTGGTTCAATTTCATAGCAGTAGTAAAAAAAAATCTATATATTCCTCAGTAGAGAAAGTCATTATATACCTCACGCATCATGCATTACAAACCTCAACTATTTTTGGGGAGCCCTAACGATAAGTATTCCCTAAAATGACATTTTTACATGGAGAAATGTCAGTTTAAGGCATACCTATTGTTAGGGCTTTCCTAAAATAGTTGGTGGAAATGGCCATTAGAAAAATTAAGAAGAAAACGAAAATTCAAGATCCGGGAATAGACAAAATATGAGATGGAAAAATTGAAAAATAAAGAATAAATAAATATATACTTAGATAATAATAATATTAATAATAATACCTGAGTAAACATCAAAAAATTTGCAAAAATATGGCGGCAGGGGCGTGGCTAACTTCTATATTCATATTCAAAATTTGCAAGAATATGGCGGCGGTACCGAATTTCTATTTGAAAAGGTTTAGTCATTGTAGGTGGGCCGGGGCCATTGGAAAGGGTTGAAGAGGAAACAACCAATCAAATACCTTGACGATACATAAACCCCGGAAAGGGGCGGGGCTCAACTAACCAATTGAATGCCCTGCTGATATCACTCGCATCTGATTGGAAAGGAGCGGGGTTTATATCCAACCTATCAAATGCTTTGTTGATATCCTTGTGTATGATAACGAGTCAGCCACAGTGTTGCCAGCTTGATGGAATTATCCCCTTTTTGCCTTTTTGAGGAAACTTTTTATTTTCGTTCGCAAAGGGTAGAAATGGAAATACCGGAATTTTTAAAGTCTGTTTTTTTTTTTAAGATAAAAGTCAAAATGACATTATGTTGGCAAAACAATGTTAAATTGTCGATGCTTTCAAATTTTTTGTGTAGAGAAGGCTTGTGTTGCCAACATAGTTACTAAATTTTTGACTTGGGAAATTATCTTTAAAAAAAAAAAAAACAGACTACTTTTTCTTTTATTTAGTCGCAAAATTCTCATATTCAATGAAAAATTGGTAATTTTAAGTTTCTAGCACAGGATATACAATAGGTATACAGGATGGGCCATTAAACTTAAGACATTATTGAACTTTTTTTTTCAAAAACGCGCCATTTTCGAGATATTGAAATGTCTCAATTTAAATGGACCACGCTGTATAAGTATGGGTACAACATCTCATTCCCGACTGTAAGTGAAGGCGCAATAATTGTTTTTTTCCACTACCGCGCGTAAAGTACTTACATTACGCACCTTTTAGAAGATATTATAAAATGTCACGCACCAGTGCGAAAAGTAGTTTTTTTTACCACTAACCTGAGAAGTAGTCATTATTCCATCAATTTTTCTGGGAAAAAATTGAATTTCTCTCCCTAGGTTAATGATGAAAATAGTGAGTGAAAAAATACCTAGGTCAATAATGAAAATGACGTCATGACGCAAGGATATTGTCATAACGTAACAGGTTTCTATTGGTTCAGTATCAAACTGTCAATTTGAAAAAAAGGAGGTTCCTGTATGTACCGTGCGTTCAATTTATCTTGATAACATTTTAATTCGCTGTAACTTTTTTGTTTTTGAAGGTATCAAGGTAAATAAAAAAACAAAATGTAGGGTTAGTAGCCAAGTTTTTTTTCAAGTTACCTATAAAACAAAACACTATCAATTTTCTGACATATAAGCCAACATTATATTTTTTTAAATGGAACACCCTGTATATTAGATATGTGTTTGATAGAATATCTTATTCCGATTACAATGATATAATACACTGTATATTTTAGTCCACTAGTTTTTGACAAATTGGCAAAAATATATGAAACTTTTGAAGTGAAACTTATTAGGCGGCGATCTGATATTTGGGGAGAGAATCATTGATAGTGTATATAAAAACCTGACCAACATCTCTACCTAGGTATATAATGTACTATTGTATAATGCTCGGTATAATGTGTAATGTTGCTTTTCATTTTATGTATCTTGTTAGAAATGCAGTAACAAATAAATCATTAATTATTTTAGTCTGGACCTGCTTATTTTAAAAGAAGTAGTACAAAAAATGGCAGGAGTGGATTTCAATGAAGATTCTACTATGGACCAACTTATTGCAATGTCAGGAGGGGAACTACTTAAAGGAGAGGTAAGATCATAAGCCAAAAGTATCTCAATAGATTCAAAATCCTCATTTTTATTCTAGGCTGGTTACTTTAGCCAAATTCGCAACACTAAAAAATCCTCTCTACGACTCAAAGATGCAATGAACGAAAACGATTTAGCTGTAGCCCTGTGTTTACTAATGGCCCAACAAAACTACTGTGTCATTTACAAGGAAACTGAAAAAAGTCATCTCAAACTAGTAGGCAAATTATCTGACCAATGCCAAGACACTCTAGTGCAATTTGGCACTTTTCTGGGCTCAACTTTAACTGTAGAGGAGTACATCAGTAAACTACCAAGTATCCAAAGCATGTTGTTGAACTATCATATACCTACCGAAGTGGCATTTTTCTTGGCCAGACCCATGTTTAACCATTCCATCAATCAAAAATACGACGTTTTACGTAAACTTGACCCAAACTACAAAAAAATGTCCCAGCCTGTTAAAAACCAAAAATACTATGAAGCAGTTCAAGAAGTTATGAAACCTGTGTACAGTTCGTTGTTGCCGCTTCATCCTCCCAACGTCTGGGAAGATATAACTCCGCAATTTTTGGCAACTTTTTGGTCTTTGACTATGTACGATTTGTATGTGCCTGAGGATGTTTATCAGCAAGTAATTGATAAAACTAAGCAACAAGCGGCAACAGCGTTGGAACAGATCAAAGGCAAAAAAGAACAAGAACGTTTTCTATCCCTGATTGAGAAATTGCTAGATGAAAAAAAGAAGCAAACAGAGCACATAGAAAAAGTTTTATATAGACTAAAGCAAGAAAGTGAAAGCTGGTTTCCTTCAAGAACAGGCAGAACGGCCAAAACCGAATCAATAACTAGATTTTTACAACTTTGTTTATTCCCTAGATGTACTTTCACTCAAATTGACGCCATTTATTGCGCTCAATTCGTTCACACCATTCATATGCTAAAAACGCCATATTTCTCCACTTTATTGTGTTTTGACCGAATCTTTTGTGATGTCACATACTCGATAATATCTTGCACTGAAAATGAAGCCTTGAGATATGGTAGATTTTTATACGCAATGCTCGAAATCGTCATGAAATGGCACAGATCTAAGGATGTTTTTGTAAAAGAATGCGCAAACTATCCAGGATTTATGACCAAATTCAGGTAATTTTTTTGTAATTTTGGTTGGTTGTTTTAGTTTTTATTAATTTATTTGTAGGGTCAGCAATCACACTGCTGACAATTTGGATAATGTTGGCTATGAAAATTACAGGCACGTAGTACATAAGTGGCACTATAAAATGGCCAAAGCCGTTGTAACTTGTCTCGAGTCCAAAGATTATGTACAAATAAGGAATTCTTTAACTATTTTGATTAAAATTATACCGTTTTTCCCCATTTTGCTTAAATTGGCTCAATTTTTGGAAAAAAGAGTTGAAAAAGTAAGAGACGAAGAGAAAAATAACAGGCAAGACTTGTACACACTTTCCACAAGTTATTTGGGACAATTGAAGCAAAGGGTGAGTGGAGGGCATATGGTCAAGGAAAACGATTTTCATTTACTGGCAGATAAAGATAAGACTGTAAAAGCTAATCAGGATACACCTTCAACAAGTACAAAAGATGCAATCAAGCAAAATGGTGATTCAAAAAGTAAGAGATTTCAATAAATAAAATAATCATAATGATGAAAATATTATTTTTAGTTTCAAAGGAATTTCAAGACAAAAAACCAATCCGCATTTCAATGGAAGATACCAAACCACAACGAATAACTAACAATTCTGGAAATATAGAAAATCAGTGAGTAATTTTTTTTTATGTATATTGTTAAATTTTATATGCATTCTTTTATTATAGGAGCGTAGAAAAAGAACGACGTGACGAGAAACCTCCAAGAGATCAATCTAGGGAAAAATATTCTAGGAAAGAAGAAAAACGTCTAATCGAACTAGAAAAAGAAATCAAAAGAGAGCAAGAAGAACAAAGTAGAAGAGAACACAAAGTAATTATTTATTATTTTTGATGGGACCATATTATAAAATTACTTTTATTTTTAGGAAGCAAGGTATATTGAAATAATGAGCCCAAAAGAAGAGCGTTATTCAACAGAAAGACAGGACAAATTTTATGAGGAAAGAAACAGTAGTTATTATATGAGCGAACGCGAAAGTGCTGGTTCATCTGGCAATTTATCCAAGAACATACAGGATTTGGACAATGAAAGAGGTAATAGTTATATTTTAGTAGAGCAGTTTTCAATATTAATTTATTATTTCAGATAATAAAAGAAGAAAAATGGAAGCTCCTCCCTCCAAGGTTAGTATCGGATTAAGATAGCGGCTAGTACAAGGAACTATTATTGGAGATTGGGCTACTGGAGCGTTTTTCTTGTACATATTTCGTGTGTGTGTTTTTTTTTCTAAAAAGACAATTCAAAGTGAGGACTGATTTATTTTTTGTGAAACTTCAAAAAAGTTGTGGAAGAGAAGACCCAATTTCAATGCGGATAAATTGAGAAGAGAAAGAAGATAAATGTTGACGTCAACCTAAAGAAGACCAGAATTTTTGTTAAAAATTCCCACCAAAATCAATGGGCAAAAGAAAAATCTTAAAGAAGCTTTAAATGGAGAGAATCATCACATCATTGTATGCATCTAACTCAGAATTGATCCAGAATTCCTAATAATTGATCTATTGAAAAAACAAAGTGACCTTTAGGACAAGAATGTTCCAAAGAAATTTAATCTACCAAGAGATTCCGAAAAACCATCCACCATTGAATGCCATCTATTATAGACCAATGACCAGTCATTTGACTGATGAGATGAGGATCTCACGTATGAGCCTGGATGACTATTTCCTGTGACCCTATTTTCCCACTTTGATGCCAAACAAATATGTGTTCAGATGCCTCTAAAATTTTCCAAAGTCCAAAGACATTCCATAAGAAAGGCTAATGTAAAACATAAGATGACAGTAGAATAATTGAAGAAGTTTGTCTTGATGATGCTATAAAGAAAAACAACAATGGAAATTTGAGAAGAAAACAATAAATTCATAAAATTATTAATTAATGCTAAATTTACCAATGGAATTTCCACATGAAGATCAAAATTGTCCAATGGAAACAACATCTGATGATTCCAAATGCCAGCGTTTTTTCAAGAAACTGCAAGTTCCAAGGCCTTCTAAGACGACCAGCCTACTTTGACAAGGTTTTTGGTTTTGGACACGCTCAGTTTTCCGGTTTTTTATTCCAAATCCAGAGGAACTATCGAATGACTATATAGCCCAATCTCCATATTTAGATTTTAGTTACCTACCTTATATCAGGTAAGCATTTAGGTTAGTTTAAAGTTAGATTATTTTTACTGATTCATTTTCGAATTGGTGTAAAAACGATAGATGTTTTTAACATCCTTTAAGGTGTTAAAAGTACCGTAGGCGACGCCCAGAACAAGGTCAGATTTGAATTTTTAATGTCAGGAATACATCATACATACAGGGTGTTGCAAATTCACAAATAAGTATGAAGATTTCGTTAATTATGAAAGATACAGGGTTAGTTAAATTGGGGCAAAATTACGCAATTTTCAAGAGAAAAGAAAATTTAATTTTCTGGTTCTAAATTTTTTTGAATCATGATGAGGTTGAGAAAATTTGCCATATTTCCATTAACATTCGAACGAATCGGAATCAATTATACTTCATTGAAAGTTTCAGCGTTCTATCTTTAATAGAAAAAAAGTTATGACCTTGCAAAGTTTTCCAAAATCTAAATCATAAGGTAGCTTTTGTACTAAAACGATAAAATTTCAAATTTTTTTTTTGCTAAGATTTTGTATCCCAATGGTCAATTAACATCCCCCAAACTCCATACACTAAATTATTCTCAGATTTGAAGCCGAAATCTATGAAAAAAGGCACTCAGAAAAATTGAAAAATTGATAAATCACCCCAAATTGTTTAACAGGAGTTTATCTCAAAAACTATAAGTGTAAATGAGCTGAAATTTTCAGTGATTGTAGTCCCTTGATTGGGATGAAATTTAGTGAAAGTTTCAGCTTTCTATCTATAATAGAAAAAAAGTTATGACCTTCCAATATTTTCCAAAATCTAAATCATAAGGTACCTTGTACTAAAACGATAAAATTTCAAATTTTTTTTTGTTGAGATTTTGTATCCCAATGGTCAATTAACATCCCCCAAACTCCATACACTCAATTATTCTCAGATTTGAAGCCGAAATCTATGAAAAAAGGCACTCAGAAAAATTGAAAAATTGATAAATCACCCCAAATTGTTTAACAGGAGTTTATCTCAAAAACTATAAGTGTAAATGAGCTGAAATTTTCAGTGATTGTAGTCCCTTGATTGGGATGAAATTCAGTGAAAGTTTCAGCTTTCTATCTATAATAGAAAAAAAGTTTTGACCTTCCATAATTTTCCAAAATCTAAATCATAAGAAAGCTACTTTTGTACTAAAACGAGGGGTAAACTGCTGAAAAAAATGTGTACACTAATTCCCAGGATTGTTACTAATTCCTCTAATTCCTCTCATTTCTTCTAATTTCCTTCTAATTCCCTTTAATTCCCTCTAATTCCCCTCTAATTCCCACTAATTCCCTTGTAATTCCCCTAATTTTACTAATTCCTCACTAATTCACCAAATCCACCACGTAAACTTGGCCAACATAATATGGTGTTAAATAAATCAAGCCTAAATATCTGGGTTTGCAGTAGGTATTAAAATAAAAAAGCTGGAAAAGATGAACAATTTATTCTCACATCAAAAAACTTATAAAAGAAAATAAGAATACCCATTATTTGTATTATAAAACTAAAGATTGTTTCTTGTACCTACATATAACAATATTGGAAAAAAATAAAAAAATATTGTTTTTTAAATGCCTTATACCTGCTCTTAATATTAACTTGGTCTGCTCGTTTTAACTCGAATGGGCCTCCACCAATTAAATTAATAGGTCCGTAGAAAATAAAATCTTTATAAACGGTATCAATGTCTTCTTTTTGGGGCCAAATAAATGTGTCGAGCTCTGCTTTCAGAAACTTTATTTTATAATATGCGTTTCCTTTATCTTCAATTATTCGACCAATGAACCATGATTGGTCATAGAAAACCGCATAATAGTTTTCTAAATGTATCTCCGGTACGGCAGTTTCCGATAAATTTTCTGATTGACACGGCAACATCTCATTTGAAAACTCTTCCAAATCATCGGAGTCGTCTAGTTCCATCACGTCCCAATCAGTGGATGAGTCAGTGCTTGTGCCACTAGCTTGATCCATGGGTAGCTTCTGTTTAGTCTTTTTCAAGGTTGGCTCGGAGTTTTTGGAAGCTGATTTCTCAGGTGTTTTCCGAGGTGCTTTCCTTGTACTGCCTATAAATCTTTTTAATCGGCCAGTGCTTACTCTACCGTTGGACTGATCTAAAAGCCAGCAGTACGACGACTTTTTGATAATTGAGGTTTTTTCACCGATAACTACTTTAATATACGGTGATTTTTCCGATACAACATGCACTTTTCCGGAAAAGTCTTTTAAATTTATAGAACCCGTTTCCAAAGTATCACCTTCGCCATCTTCATTAGAAATCTCCGAGGAAATATTCTCCGAAATTAAGTCCATAACCTCGTTCATAACTATATTGCTCTCATCACTAATATTATTTTTGTTTGCCACATCATGGTCAATTTCATTTTCTTCACAGTTCTCGCCAACTTCAACGTCGTCTTCGTTCATGTTTACGTTCTCCTGTGTAACTCCGATATTTTGTTTCCGTTTTATCAATGGTACCTGCATAAATTTCCAATCGTTTTCTTTTGCATTGAGGCCGAAATATCTCATGTCCTCTATGACATTTTGTAGAGCTTCTTCAATTATAGCTTTGATATCCAAATTGAGAATTTCATCTTCACGTGGTAAATTTTCTTTCATCAGTCTGTCTTTTAATCTTTTTTCTTCCCGTGGAAATGTGAAAGTCCCCCTCAGATCGTTTATGGTATCAATTGTTGTCTTAATTCTCTCAATTCGGTTCAGCATATCCTTTATACTAAAATTAATTATTGTGGAATATGTAGAGGTCATCGACCTAGCAGCTCGAAATAAGGATTCACATGCTTGGCTACCGAAAATATTGATGCTGAACATCTCTGGTTTCAACTCACCGCTTTTAAGCTTGAGTATTAGTTTAATCAAAGCATGGGCGTTAATCTCGATACAAAGGTAACAGTTACTTGTCAAAAAGTTGTCTGTTATTTTATAATTTTTTTCTGATTTAAGCCAGGATCTCCAGATTCTGGTAAAAAATACAACATACCAGATGTCATATAGTTTAGTACGCAAATCTGTGTTGGAATTTAGGAACGCCGATTCGACGTAGTACATAAGCTTAAGATACGCCACACTACCTTCACTTTGTGGAATTTCTTTTTTCAGTTGTTCAATTACTATCAAACTGCACATTTTTTCTGCTGCCGATGCGAAATTCATCTTGTCTTCACTTCTGAGATCAGAATCTGTTAGAAGATGTTTGTCTTTTGAAACCTTCAAGATCAACTGTCTAAGATGATCAGAGGTGGCAGTATATTTCCCAATTGGCAAATTTATTCCAGGTTTTAGGAAACGAGTACGCATTTTTGTTAAAATATGGGTGGTGTCCTGTACATAACATTCTTCATTTTTTTCAATGCTGCAGTGGTACCACTCCCAATCTGGAACTGGCAATGAATCAAGTACCTCTGTATCTTCTGGGTTTGTTTGGTTTCTTTCCTTATATTCAGGAGCTAAACGGGAAATCAAATCAGTATTTAAACGCACAGCTCTGAGAAGGCGAGTATCGCCGTCTGAGGAAAATCCCATAATTGTGATGCCAAATTTTTTAGCTTCCTTCTTCATCCATTCCCATCTCAAAGTGACCTGTTCAGTAGTGAATGAATTATCAGTTCCGAATAAGGACAAGCAGTATGTTGATGCACCAACATGTAACGGTTGTGCCATTATTACATAAGCATATGTTGCTTTTACTCCGGTTTGAAAATATGCCTTGATTGCTTCAGCAGAAGTGGCAGGAAACGTACCTTGTTGAGGCAGGCCATCCCTCAATGGTAAAACCAATCCTATTACATTATTAGATTTGTTGTCATATTCAATTTTGCCTGTTACGCGAGTGCCATCCTCGGATACCCAAATCATTTTTGGTAAACCTCGATCAGTTAAGTGTTTTAATAGGCCTTTAAAATCAAATCCTCCTTCTTGTAGAGGCTCATTTCTAGTGTCCAAGAATCTATTTAGGGTAGAAATTGAAGGTAAACTATTCTCTAAATTTGTCTTTAGTGTTTCATAAAGTAACCTCCCCCCAATATAAAACAGGTATACTGCGAATTTTTTTGTAGCATCATCGTATCTGTTTCTATTGTTTGAGCAAGTGGAATTCTTGAGTGATAAATCCTGCAATGTTTTGAGTAATCGCGGTAACTCAGACACAGAATTATCAGTGTTTTGGACAGTTTCTATTTCACTTATGTTCTCCAAAAGTTCATCAGCTAGTCCACTATTTCTACTCACTACTTCACTCACTTTTTCAGCAATAAAAAAATAATTCGTGATTACACTTTGGTCGTCTAATAAGTTTTCTCTAGCTCGTCTCACTCTTTCATGCCTCTGATATTTCTGTCTTTTCCATTTTGATGGTACTTTATCCATATCTTGGTTGTCGATTTTGCACAGTTGATTCGATGAGGTATTCGTTGATTCATCAATACTGTCTAAGCCCTATCGTTAGCTTCAAAGAGACCGGTGTGGTCCTCGGTGGGGTCGCTGCTGTTTGCCTCTGAGAGGGTACCAGAAGCCGTGCCGAAAGCAGTGCTCGTAGCGGATTGAAACCTTGAGTCTAGATAAACATCACACAGTTTTTTCGGCAAAGTATTGGTGGAATGTGAGGCAGGAGCTCGGGAAGGAGATAAAACGACGTTACCAAGAATTTTAACTTTTGATGACTTTTTATTCAGGATAGGATTAATCTCATGATCATTAGTTACCAAATAGGAAGTGATGGACTGTTGTTGAGGACGTGCTGAAATTTCTGTCGATACATCGAATGCCGAGGTGGTTTGTATTTTGAAATGTTTAGTCATGAAGTGTGTATGAAAATTTGAGTAAATCCAACTTTTCTGCTTTTTCCCAGGTTTAAGTATTTTGGGGAGTTTGTATGTCGCGTTACAGAAGCAGGTTACTTTCGAGAACATCTCTTGTTGGTCGAGTGAAGTTACAATTTTAATATCATCGAATTTATGCTGAAGCGTTTCCCATAAATCGGCTTTTGCTTTTGATTTTGCCCATTTCTTTAAATTTCGAAAAATCAAGGCATTCTCGTCTGTCAAGTTCACAGCTCGGTTCACGACAGGTTTCTGATTGGTAATCTCCCTAGCATTGTTCTCGGGATGGAGTTCTTCCTCTTGGGATTCGTCACTCAACAATTCTGAAGATTCAACAGAAGTTTTTGACCTCTTCTTGGGGGGCCCTTCTCGATTAGTTGGCGCTTCGCTTGGCGCAGATGCTTGAATTTCTTTTTTGTGTGATTTTCTTTTCTTTTTGAAATGTTCGATCATCCAAAGTAGGACTTGTTGGTGTGCGGGTAGCATTTTGTAAATTTTAGGATTTTTGCTATATACATATTCCATAGTATTTTTCTCGATCTTCCTCATCGATGAGCTGAAATAAATCAGTCCTCGCAAACTTTTCTATTTCTGTTATAGTTGCTTTGGTCATTCCAGCTATTAAAGCTTCATTTTCATAGCCACAGCTCTTCAATAAGTTTTTCAAAATTTCTGGTATTTTAATATTAAGTGCCCTTTCCGCCTCTTCAAAAACATCCCCATTCCCGGGTTCACCAGTATCACTCATCTGTAAAAAAAGTATCCCATAATTAATAGTTTCCGAGATAATTCCCAATAAACCCAACAACGACAATCACACCATAACAACAAAAAACTTCCCTACCCAGAAACAACCCCTATATGCTGCTTATGGGAATCCTAATAAAATTAAATAAAATATCGTGCAAAATATCCACGAAAATAGCTCTCACAAATAAGTTGTTTTTTGATATTGCGCTTAAATAACTCCTTAGGAACATCAAAAGAAACATCCATTGCTTAATATTTTCAATTTCACCCCACCGCCTACTTTCAATTTGTTACTATTTCAGTATTGATCAGGTATATCGTTGAAATAGTATGATTTTTCTAATCACTATTCTCAAGTAATAATAAGTGTAAAAAAGTGTAACCCAGAGCAAAAAGTGTAAGAATACAACTCGATACAACCCAATATTAAAAGTAGGTATAAGTCGAGGTACTTTACTTGAATTGAAATGAATTTAGTATTTGAGGTTAGGTATAGGGCACACTATCTATCTACTTCTATAATTATTGACCTACGTGAATAATAAATTTTATTGACCACATGGCGAGAAGAGCTTGTGATGAGATTAATTGGACAATAAAATAAAGGCTATTTCTACTGTTAGTCTTAGAAAAAACATATTTACTTACTGTATATAGAATAATCTATGCAAATTGATCACCTCATTGGCACTACAGTCACTCCACCACTGAGACGCACTCGCTCTGAGATTATTATTTGAAATTTATTATTTTATTTGTTTTTGTTCTCGGTTTATATGCCTCGATTTTAGAAACAGTGGAATCTGGCATAATTTCACCATTTGCTGACGGCTATTAGGCCACTGTTGCCAGTTGATGTTGCCAACCAGCAAGTAAATTTACCGAGCTGAAGCGAAATAGGCTTCACTCACGCAGCTACACTTGATCACGCGTTGCCGATGCGACGTTGCGTAATCTACTAATTTGCTTTTGGTTTCTTCTAATTTCCTCTAATTCCCCAGTAATTCCCTTCTAATTCCCCACTAATTCCACTATTTCCTTACTAATTCCCCTAATTCCCCGATAATTCCCCTAATTCCCCAGTAGTTTCTCTAATTCCACACTAATTCCTCTAATTCCTCGATATTGTACACCAAAATTCCCCTGCGGTTTACCCCTCGTACTAAAACGATAAAATTTCAATTTTTTTTTTGTTGAGATTTTGTATCCTAATGCTCAATTAACATCCCCCAAACTCCATACACTCAATTATTCTCAGATTTGAAGCCGAAATCTATGAAAAAAGGCACTCAGAAAAATTGAAAAATTGATAAATCACCCCAAATTGCTTAACACGATTTTATCTCAGGAACTATAACTGCAAATGAGCTGAAATTTTCAGGGATTGTTCTCTACTGGAATAAGAATCGCTGAAAATTTCAGCTTTCTATCTATAATAGAAAAAACCTTTGGGTATATTGGAAATTAAAAAAAAAAAAAACAATTGTTTACCGAGATTTCCATACTTATTTACGAATTTGTAACACTCTGTATATAATTTTGTTCAAGAATTAAAATAAATTCTAGGGGTAAACTGTAGATGAATTTCGATGAAAAATATAAGGTTGGTACTGAGGCTTATTATAGTTTCTCATCATTACAGATTTCTTGATCCTATTAATTCAAAATTCAAGTTCAAAGGAAGCTTTTCTGGTGGAAATATAATGCACTTATTGATTAAGCTATGAGCAATAAGTAATTTTAATAATAATAAAAATAAGGAATTTTCAAAATACTTTTTTGTGGTTTACCCCTTTTTGGGATACCAAGTACATATTAGGATTAAAGCCTGAGCATAAAATCGATTTCAAATGATGATTTTCCTGAATCATAAATTGAGCTCAAAGTTCAATTTTCTTGCCTTAGGGCCAGTTTCACAAACAGCGGTAATTCAATGGTAATAATAAGACACTGATAAACCACACAGTATATTATTTGTTCCATAATACGTCCTTTAGCCAAAAGCTCTAGATTATTCAACTCGAGCCTTACTTTGCAAACTCATGGTCAACCTACAACTATTAGGGCGGGTATTATAAAACTATTTTGACAGTTAACTAAAAGTTAACTTCTGGAATTGCTTTCAGAAGTAACATCATTTTAGAAGTTAACTTTTAGTTATTCTGTCAATATAGTTTTATATACCCGCCCTTAGTTTGGTAACCAATTCAGGATACCACTAATTTTGAAACTGGGTCTTATTGGCTTAAAATAATTTAGAATTTAAACAGTAATTGATTTGTAATGTAAATTTTTTCTAATTATTTATGCATATTAAAGACTATTATATGAGGCGTTTTAAGTTTCCCGAAACACGTATTTTTTAAATTTCTTTTGAAGATTTCCAAGCACGAAGAACGCAAAGCACAACTGGGCACTTACATGGAAAAAATCGAAAAGAAGGAAAGGTCAGGTAAATCGAAAGAGCGCCGAGAAAAATTGACTGAGGAGGAAAAAGATTTAAAAAAAGATAGGAGATTGGTCCGGAAAAGAGTATGTTTACATAACTATTAACTGTTTTTTTCTAAAATTTTCAACATTTTAGGATAGACTGGAAGAAAGTGCTTTGCAAGATCTTGTCAAGCGTAGAAGAGACGAGGAAAAAGGTAATTTGAATAATAATTTATTAATCAGCAAAGTGTTTATTCAATTTTCTGACACAGGAAAGCAATTGGCACATCAGAATGGTGAAAAATTCGAGCAAACGGTTGTTTTAAGAGAAAAACATCATCGAAAAGGAGAACCCAGAGAGCTAAAAGTAAGTTTTTCAATAATAATTGAGAAAATGGATTTTTTTTCAATAATGTGTATTTTTTTTTTAAGGAAATTTCATCTCATGAAAGAAGCCAATCGAGGGAAAAACAATATCCTTTTTTTATGCTATAATAATTATTCCATTGTTGATTTTAGTCATTAATAATTTTTTACAGTTATTTTTCTTAACATAATATTTACTAGGAGGAGTGCGGAAAACAAAAGAAGATAGCTGAAACTGAGAAGAATCCTTCAAAAGTTAAAATGAGGGGCGTCATTATGATAAAACAAACATGTTTAGTTCTTAAGTATGTAATATTAAGATGTAATTAATTATTAAATAACTAATTATTAAGCATAAATGTTATATTTGTATGGATTTTTGTGAGAATATACATCTTCATTTGGAAAAAATTGCGTCAATTATCGACTTTCTTAGTATTTAGAAGAAATTTGATTGGGCAAGTTCAGTGACTCAAAAAAATCGAATTAGTAGAAATCAAAAAGAGTAAAATTTTCGCCACGAACGCGGGCGCCAATGATGTGATGGTCTAAATAGTTGTTCCATCGACTTCTTCGACGCCTCGACGACGATTCTGTTAACCTGTAGTAGAAGGTAAGTAGGTCATTGTATATAAAGTGAAGTTCAAGGTACTCGAAGAACCATTTGATTCGCGACGTTTGGACGCTCTTCATACTTTTTTGTGAGTAGTTCCGTGTGTACCTTAACTTAATAATTGACGATTTAAGTAGGTAAGTGGGTAATAATAATGTTATAGTTAATTTTTTTTTGGGAAAGAAAACTATAAATAACTGAAAAAAAATTTTCATATAGGGATATATATATATATATATTTAAAATTGATTCCAAATTATCTGTATAGAGATTGTATTTTACTAGAAATTTCCATTATCTGAAACCGTTTTTCCTGCAAATGAAATGTAACAGTTTAAGTGAAAACGCACAGTCAATTTGCCGATGAGCGAAAATAACGGGTTTAAATTTCACTGATGTGATTCTTGATTAAAAAGTTACTCATGTCCTAATTTGAGAATTTCAAAGTCAAAATCTAAAATAACTGCATTATATAGGTTTCTAGGTCGAATAAGTAAAAATATGAAAAGTATATCGACAAAATGAAAAAAACAAATAATATCCGGAGAAGCCATCTTTGCTTTAATGGACAGTTAGTGCAATTAGCACCAATTTGTATATGCGTAGCTAATCCAATTTACTTTATCAAGTTGTATATTTGAATGTCTTAAATGTAGGCGACAGGTGAAATTACATGCGTCATTCTATCTGACTAAAGATCCTGTTCAATACTTAAAAATTTATAATTAAGTCCATCTTCCCGTTACCTTTTGCTGCATAATTTTTGTAGTAAATTATTCACACCGTTACCAAACCAAATTAGTACCTTGTTTATGCCTTTTTTGAGATACTAATATGACCCACTTTGCACTAGAATTTTTATAATAATTAGGAAATAAAACATTATTAAAACAATGCTTATAGAGTTTCGCTTTCTTAATTTAAAAAGACAATAGTTTTATTATTGTTGTTAAACAACCGTTAATAATTGTTATCAATATGCGATACAATACAATAAAGGTAACTTCTTTTAGATTTGCAACAATGTCGAAGCAAGCAGTTGGTATAAATTTCCTAATCCTCCTAGTGAGTAGTTCTTTGATAAGCACATTGGCTTATCCCAATAGCCAACAGTTTCCCGAATACAAACCCCAATCAGTAACAGCCGAAAGAAAATTCGCAGAAAAATCAAACTCAATCAAAAAAGTCGCCTTGGACAATCTAGATGACATTCAAACAAACGAAATATCCCAATCTGCAGCTGGAGGAGGATTTTCTTGGTCCAACTTATTAGGTAAAAATTGGAAAATATTGCTAACAAGTAATTAATAATTATTATATAGCACTGTTTGATTCAGGCATGGTCATGCAAATGATCTTCAATCCAGGAGGCGGAGCCGCAACAAACCCTAGCAAATCCGAAGGTCTTGACGAAAGTCCTGCACCTACTTCCCCATGGGCAAACCTTATTACTGTAGGTTTGAAAATTCTTACAGCCATTTTGGGTGGTGGAGCTGCCCCTCAGGGAGATGGTATTGATAAAGTCGACAATGGTGGATCTCCATTACAGGTATAAGATAATGATTGCCTTTATGTAGTATATAATGTTGTAAATAACAAGTAGTTAGTTGCTTCTATAAATTATGCAGGGTGTTCTGGCTGCGGTGGTTTCGATGGTTGTTGGGGGCAGGGATCCGCAACAAGTCAATCTGTTAGCGAAAAATGCTGGTGAGGTATGTATGGCTATCTGTATACAGGGTGTTACAAATGTGCGAGTAAGTTTTGGTAATTATAAGAGATACTAGGGTGGGTTGAATTGGAACAAAGTTACGCAATTTGCTGTTTCGAAATTTGGAAAATTCCCAATATTTGCAGAAATATGCAGGAAAACCGAAATTTTGCAGAATCGTTTTTATATTTTCATGGCAATGTCAAGAAAAATTGCCAATATTTTCATTAAAATTAGAACAAATCAAAATAAATCATACACTATTAGAAAGAGCATTAAATTCTCTATAAATGTATGCTAAATTGAGTTTAATACCTCAAATACTTTTAGAGCAATTTAGCCTCAAAGTTGACTTTTAGTCCAAATTTAGTCAAAAACTCAATTTCCTCAAAAACTATAGACCTGAAAATGTTTCCCAATACAGGACTTTTGGAGTTGAATAGGAGCTACAAATCCTGAAAATTTTGACTTAATATATCTCACCAATTTCAAGATATTGAAGGTTAAAGATTTTGAAATAGAAATCCAAAAAGTGTAGCTGCCCTAAAAAAAAAATTCATTTTTTGATTCTAAATTTTCTTTGAATCATGACAAGGTTAAGAAAAATTGCCAATATTTCCATTAAAATTTGAACAAATCAAAATAAATCATACACTACCAGAAAGAGCAATAAATTCTCTATAAATCTGTGCTAAATTGAGTTTGATAGCTCGAATACTTTCTGAAAAATTGAGCCTCAAAGTTGACTTTTAGTCTAAATTTAATGAAAAACTTCTAATTCAATTTCCTCAAAAACTATAGACCTGGAAATGTTTTCCAATACAGGTTTTTTAGAGCATAATACGAGCTACAATTCCTGAAAATTTTGATCCAATCTCTTTCACAGATATCGAGACATTGAAGCTTGAAGATTTTGGAATAGAAATCAAAAGGGGATACCTGAGGGGTGGTTAACTGGTCAAAATCCGTGTACAAGTTAGTCAAAATCCCAGAAAATCTAATAAGATCTAGTCAAAATCCCTAAAAATCTTTGAAATCCTTAAAAATTTAACAAAACCTCTTGAAATTGCATAAAATCCTACAAAATCTAACAAAATTTCATTAAAACCAAAAAAATCTTGCAAAATCTCATCAAATCATTAACATTCCTAAAAAATATTTCCTTTGAAATTCCCAAAAACCCTTTAGAATCCCCAAAAGTCTGGTAAAGTCTCTCAGAATTTCATAATTTAGTGAAATTTTTGCGAAGTTTCTATAGAATTCACATTGAATTTTAGTTCCTCTCGAATTACATGAAATTTCAATGAAATTCCGGTTCAATTACACGCAATCCTAAATGAATGGCATGGAAGAATTCTAAAAATATGAAATTACACCGAAATTCCCAACATGAAATTTAAGTTCTTACTGAATTTTAGTAAAATTCCAGGAATTCTGAGGAATTTCCGGCTAAAAAGATGGAATTTCGGTGATATTTCGAAAAATTCCCATGTAATGACATGAAATTTCAATTAGGGTGAATTTTCAAGAAATTACTTAAGTTTCATTAATTTTCCCAGAAATTCCTGATTATTAAAAGAGAATTTCAGTGAAATTCCGAAACATTCTTACGAAAATAAATGAAATTTTGAAAAATTCCTTCAAGTTTCATTGGAATTTCGTCGGTTATGAACATGTAATTTCAAAATATTCTCATAAAATTTTAGTGAATTTTTAGGAAATTACATGAAATGTCAATGAAATTCCGAAGAATTTTATGAAAATTTTGTGGAATTCAAGGATGTTTTAGTGGTGAAATTTTGGGGAATTTCAATAAAGTTTAAAAAAAAAAATATGGAATTTTGAAATTGAAATTTTAGTGGAATTCTGAAGAATTTCATGAAATCCTATACTGTAATTCCGAAAACATTTTGTGTAAGAATTCCATAAAATCTTCTGGTGAGATGTTAAGGAATTTCTATGGAATTACTTAAAATTTTCGCGGAATTTCTATGGAATAACTTGAAATTTTAGTGGAATTCCGAAGAATTTCATGAAATTTCATTGTGTAATTCCGAGGAATTTTTTTTCCAAAAAATCTATTGAATTTTATTGTGGAGTTGCATGAAATCTTATGGTGAAATTTGGAAAAATATTATGAACTCTTATAGTAAATTTTTTAGGAATTTCCGTTTTTCCATTCAAATTTACCATTGGAATGGAATTTCGAGGAATTCCATAAAATCTTCGGGTGAAATTCTATGAAATTAACTAAAATTTTTACGGAATTCCCATGGAATAACTTGAAATTCTAATGGAATTCCGAAGAATTTCATGAATTCCATTCAATTTTCTGGTGTGAAATGTGACATGTGAAATTTGTGCGGAGTTTCTATAGAATTCACATTAAATTTTGGTTCCTCTTGAATTACATGAAATTTCGAGAAATTACATGAAATTTCAGTGGAATGTCGATCGAATTAGGTACATGAAATCCTGAGTTGCATGGAGGAATTTTAAACAATTACATGGAATAACATCGAAACTCCCAACATGAAATTTCAGTGCTCGTTAAATTATATAAAGAATTTTAAAAAAAAATTCAGAAAATATCATGATTTCCGAGGAATTTTCTTCGAATTATATGGAGCTTCGATGCAATTGCATGGAATTCCAAGGAATTGTCACGGAATTACATGAAATTTAGGTGGAATTTTAAACAACTCTTATCGTTTCATAAGGAATTCCAGTGAAATTCCTAAAAATCCTAATGTAATTACATGAATATTTTTATTCCAAGGAATTCCCAGTTAAAAATATGGCATCTTAGTGAAATTGAAATTCCGAAAAATTCCCTTCGAATTACTGAATTTTAGTAAAATTGGAGAAAATTTCTCGTGTGGAATTCCGAGGAATTTCCTGCTAAAGACTTGACAAATTTCCTTAAAATTTGGAAAAATTCCCAGGTAATATGAAATTTCAATATATTTCGGAGGAATTTCGGTGAATTTTCAAGAAATTACTTGAAGTTTCATTAATATTCCCAGAAATTTCTGACTATTGAAAGAGAATTTCAGTTAAATTCCGAAAAATTCTTATGGAAATAAATGAAAATTTTGAAAAAAAAATTGAAGTTTCATTGGAATTTCGAGAAATTTTCGACTAATAACGTGGAATTTCAGCAAAATTTCAAAAAATTCGTATAAAATTTTAGTGAAATTCCGAGGAATTTCTAAGAAATTACAGGACTGATATTCCGAAAAATTTTATGAAAATTTTGTGCAATTCCAGGATATTTCAGTGGTGAAGTATTGAGAAATTTCAGTAAAGTTTGATTTCCATAAAAATTATATATAATTTCACTTTGTGTCGACTTAAAATTTCGATGACATGTCGAGTAAAATTCCAAGGAATTTTCGTCGAATTTCAAACATGGAATTCCTTGAATTCTTATTGTAGAATTCCAGTGAAATTCCCTTGGAATTAAATTAAACGGGAAATTAACGGGAAATTTCGGCGAAATTTCGAAGAATTGAATTAAATTTTAGTGAAATTTTGAGTAATTTCTGTCGAATTACATAAAATTTTAGTGGAATTCCAAGAAATTTCATGAAATTTTTTACTGTAATTTTGAGGAATCTTTGTACAAGAATTCCATTGAATTTTATGGTGGAATTCCATGGAATCTTAGGGTGAAATTCGGAAAAGTATTATGAAGTCTTATGGTAAAATTTCTAGAACATTCTGTTTTTCTATTCAAATTTGTCATTTGAATGGAATTTCGAGGAATTCCATAAAATCTTTAAGTGAAATTCTAAAGAATTTCTATGAAATTAACAAAAATTTTCGCAGAATTTTCATGGAATAACTTGAAATTTTAGTGCAATGCCGAAGAATTACATGAAATCGCATAAGTAGTGTAATTCTGGGGAATTTTTGTCCAAACTTTTCAAAAACCCGTAAAATACTCCAGAATCACCTAAAATTTTAAAAATTTAATATTTTCTGAACTTCTGTAAAATCGTGTAAAGATTTTCAAAATTCCCAAAATCCTACAAGATCAATTAAGATTTGAAATATGTGTTAATTATTTTATAGAGTTAACTAAATCTAGGAGCGGTTGATTGGTCAAAATCTATGTACAAGTCCAGAAAAACTTGTAAGATATATTTAAAATCCCTGAAAATTTTAACAAAACCTCACAAAATCCCTGAAAAATCACTTGAAATCGCATAAAATTTCACAAAATCACACACAAAATTTCTAGAAACCCTTTAGAATCCTCAAAAATCCGTTAAAATTTCTAAAAATCCTTTAGGATCTCTAATGATCGTTTCCACCAACTATTTTAGGGGAGCTTCAACAATAAAATTCTTAATAAAAATATTCCTTTAATAATTCCAAAAATCCTTCTAACTCTCCTAAAATGCTCCAAAATCACCTAAAATCTTTTAAAATCCTGGAAAATCATATGAAGTTTTTCAAAATCCTCAAAATCCTACAAAATCAATGAAGATTTAAAATCTGTGTATATATTTTAAGGAGTTAACCACCCCTCGGGGATACCCTTTTAAAAATTGAAAATTTTGATTTTTTATATTTTTCCAATTTTCACTTTCCCAGTCTATAGAACGGGCCTAAATTAGTCAAAAAGAAACCGTAACATCATTTTCAAAAGAACAATTTGAAGGGAAGAAAAAATCAAAAAGAAAATTAATTTTTTGGTTCTAAATTTTTTTTGAATCATGACAAAGTTAAGAAAAATTACCAATATTTCCACTAAAATTTGAACAAATCAAAGTACATCATACACTATTAGAAAGAGCATTAAATTCTCTATAAATCTGTGCTAAATTGAGTTTCATAGCGATAGAGCCCCAAAGTTGAATTTTAATTGAATCTTAATCAAAAGCTTCAAACTCAATGTATCTTGTATGGTTTCCAAGATTCCCATGCTTACTCACGAATTTGTAACACTCTGTATATGTAATTATCTCATTTTATCATTGCATGTTTTGACTAGAGGCGATTTTAGTTGATCAACAATAATAGATTGAAGACCCTACTGTAAAAATGTATGTACATTTAATTCAGTTTCATTGTTGGATTTTTCTGGAGCAACAAAATATTCTTTGGAAATTTCAAATCCTGTACAAAATTACATTTACACTATGGATTCTGGATATTGTACCTGGAGAATCTCCTCTCAAATTAATACTCCTCCTCTTATGCTTTGCTCCAAAATATTTCTTCATCAAAAGATACATCTTCTGACCACCAAGTTGATAAATCTCTTTTCAGCAACTCCATCAGAGGATAAATCACTCATAAATACTCATCATATTGCATCATCCCTACCATCATCATCATCAAAATTATATTATTATTACTCCATCTATTTCAGTTCATCAACATCGTGGTAAACCTGTTGGACGCCCTGAAAACTTCCTTCTCTCATCGTTCATTGGCGGCTAGAAACTTGGGCAAAAAAGATTCAATCAGCGACGCCGCAGTAGCAGGAATATCAATGGCCAAAGGCTACGTCAGGTCTTTGGGCACCGACGAAAGTTCTTGCATGGCCAAATACATCTGTCAGGCCAACAATGAATGTTCCACCGATGTTGGCAAGAATTCCTTGTTCTGTAATCTTGGAAGGTAATTTATTCATCAATAATTTAAAACTAAATTTGTATTGATTAATTTTGTAGTTATGCTGCCAGTTTTGTTTTGGACAAATCAACTACACAAACCACCTTCGATATGCTTTACGAGGCAGGCAGACGAGGCAGATCTGGTGACAATTGCGAAATGGGTTATTTAGAATGTAATGAAGTTTATTAAGATTATTTTATTTCGTAAATGGAATGCCTGTATTTATGAACAAATGTGAGGAAATGAAATGTTTTGGAAAGTAACTGCAGTTATTTTCAAAGACATTTTAACCTAACGACTGACTTATTAAAAGAAAATTATAAACCAATGTTACTATTTTTATTTATTTTATTTATTTAAAAATATTATCAAGAATGCCTGTGTTGACTGTAAAAAAAATTGTATGTGTTTACAAGTGATAAATTAAACTTGTAGTTTTAATAAACAGAATACCAATTATTTGTTGTTAAATACTGTTTTTGTTGTTGCAATGTTGCAAAACAATATTTATTTTATAAAATAAAAATTAATTAATAGATAAAGCATTTTTGATTAAACAATAGTATATTAAATTTTGTTAAAAAACTTAAAAACTACAAAAAAAAAAAATAATACACAATGGAATGACAATAAAGTGCACATATAAATATTATAATATTAAAACAAATTTCTATTTTATTATATATTTATATACAAATTACCATGCCCACACTTTGTTTAAACTACATCAAAACACTTATAAAAAATCTAAACAACCACCTTAACTTAAAAATAATATTAAAAAAATAGTGTAGACACTCGAGAGTTTATTGATAAAAATACCAAAACCTCTAACTAAAATAAATTCGAATTTTTACTGTTGCTGCTGAGGTGTGGCTTGCACAGTTTGCGGAGAAAGTTTACACACAAAAGCCACAATGCCTAAAATAGCCGTTCTAATGATTTCAGGCGTTCTGGGTTTCTTTGCCAAATTTTCAAACATCACTCTGAGTTCACGGAACATGTTTCTCGTATAGGGATTTCTCCTCGATGCGTATCTTTGAGACAGGAAGTTATAGTAGATGAATGGTGTCAAAAGTCCTGCTTTACCCCTATAGAAAAAAAAAGAATTTAATAAAATCAATTCTAAGCTAAGAGTGATTACTTACGAAAGGGCCATAATAACAGTGTAGGGCATTAAAATGATTTCACTTAAAGAGACCAGTCTGAGAATGTTGAGCGACTGGAATTCGACGAATGAAATTAACAGTCTGCAGCCCCACCAGGAATTTTGCCCTAAAGTCTATGAAAAGAAATAAATAATTAGAAACCAAGTATCAAAATATCTAGTATTTGAGTCTAAGGCCAAAGGTGTAAAGGAAAATATGTTTGTTCTCTGCATCAAGATCAGGACAGGACATAACTCAAAATTGCTTAGTAATGTAATTAGATTATTAATACTTACATCTAAAAGTGTCAGAGAATAACTTGAAGCATGGAGAATTGCGAAAAGTAGCACTGGAATAAGAACCACTGAAAAATTTTGTTGAGGAAATATCAAGTTCTAAATGATGAGAGCAAAAAATGGTAACTTCATTTGTGAATTTTAAACTTGTTTTCGAGAATGACAAAACTCCAAGTAATAATTCCTGACAGTTTCAAGTCTGTATGAAGACTTAAAGAATTTTTCAAGAAACCTTTATAAGTGATTTTATAAGAATTTTGTGATAATTTCAATCATAAATGAAAAAAAAATTCATAATTTCAGTTGTGAGTTTCATATCAACTTGTTTGGAGAATGAGAAAACTTCAATTAGTAAATCCTGAAAGTTTTAAGTCGTTATGATGGTCCAAAGTATTTTTCAGGAACCTCCATAAACCATTATGTATATGAATTTCATATATCAATGAGAGAAAAAACCCTCATGGGTAGTTTTATAGAAATTTTATGATTTTTTCCAAAAAAATTCATAACTTTTGTCAAGGGACGAACCACCTAGGAATTCTTTGCCAAAAATATGGGGAATTTAAAAGAATTTGTGTGAAATTTAAAGGAATTTGTGGGGAATTTGAAGGAACTCATCGGAATTTATAGGGAATTTGAAGTAATTTATGAGGAATTTGAAAGAATTTGTGAGGAATGTAAGGGAAATTGTAGGGTCATGACATCACTGAGGTTCACATTCTTATTATAAGAAATATTACCTAATAGATGGAAATTTAAAAAAACATCTAGATTTGTGTTAGATGTTGGATATTAATTTTTATTAAAGAAATCCTCCCAAAATTACACTACATGATTTACAGGTCCAAATTTAAAAATTTTGGGAAAATGAGCTTCTCAGCTTCCTCTTTGCATCCAAAAAGTTTCAAAATTTTCCCTTCACTAGTTTTCCAAGAAAACTTTGAAATGTGTGAGACTGTATTTTCAACTAATTCAGTTTTTGTAGGTTGATTTCCAAGATTTTTCATGTTGCTGTTTTTCACTGGAAAAATTTGAAATTTTGGGGAAAATGAGCTTCTCAACTTCCTCTTTACATGCAAAAGGTTTCAAATTTCTACATTCACTAGTTTTCCAGGAAAACTTTGAAATGTGTGAGACTATATTGTCAATTAATTCAATTATTGTAGGTTGATTTCCAATATTCCTTATGTTGTTATTTTCCACGGGAAAAATTGAAAATTTAGGGAAAATGAGCTTTTTACCTTTCTCTCTAGATGCAAACAGTTTCAAAATTTTCCCTTCACTAGTTTTCCAGGAAGCTTTAAAATGTGTGAGACTTTATTTTCAACTAATTCAATTTTTGTAGGTTGATTTACAAAATTTTTCATGTTGCTGTTTTTCACTGGAAAAATTTGAAATTTTGGAAAAATGAGCTTCTCACCTTCCTCTTTACATGCAAAAAGTTTCAAATTTCATCCTTCACTAGATTTCCAAGAAAACTTTGAAATGTGTGAGACTGTATTTTCAACTAATTCAGTTTTTGTAGGTTGATTTCCAAGATTTTTCATTTTATTTTCCACTGGAAAAATTTGAAATTTTGGGAAAATGAGCTTCTCACTTTCCTCTTTACATGCAAAACGTTTCAAAATTTTCCCTTGACTAGTTTTCCAGGAAACTTTGAAATATGTGTGACTGTATTCTCAACTAATTCAGTTTTTGTAGGTTTATTTCCAATATTTCTTATGTTATTATTTTCCATTGGAAAAATATGAAATTTTGGGAAAATGAGCTTCTCACCTTCTTCTTTACATGCAAAAAGTTTCAAAATTTTCCCTTGACTAGTTTTCCAGGAAAACTCTTAAATATGTGAGACTATATTTTCAAGTTATTCAATTATTGTAGGTTGATTTCCAATATTCCTCATGTTGTTATTTTCCACTGGAAAAATTTGAAATTTTGGGAAAATGAGCTTCTCACTTTCCTTTTTACATGCAAAAAGTTTCAAAATTTTCCTTTCACTAGTTTTTCAGGAAAACTTTGAAACATGTGAGACTGTATTTTCAATTAATTTAGTTTTTGTAAGTTAATTTCTAATATTGTCACACAAGGCCCTTTCGGCTCGTGAGGGTTAGACCTGAGGTTAGGGTTTGCTCTTCAGGAAAACACACAACTACAACGGGAATAGTGTATATTGTCGTCCAATAGGTACATTACCAAAGGGGCACTACGTAGGTGTACCACATGACTCTTGTGCTGGGGCTCTATGTAGGAATACGTGTTCTGCACGTATAGGCAACGCTACCCTGCTAGAGGGTAAGACTCTCTGGGGTAAGGTGACCCTGAAAAGGAATGCAGCTACTGCTCCCTTAGGTAAGGTGACCCTGAGGAGAGAGTGATCCGAAGGGGTTAATGCTTCCTGGGGTAAGAAGACCCTGAGAAGAGAAAGACCCGAATGGATGCCGATACCATGGTTGTGTCGGGTTTTTATATTCATGGTGTGTAAACATAATTTACGCGTTGACCTGCTTAAACCGCTGACTGTCGATAAATCGTGTTCTAGTTAGTTTTAACTATTTTTGATATACAGGATGGTTTTTAATTATAGACCATTAGTTGACAATATTTCTTATGTTATTATTTTCCATTGGAAAAATTTGAAATTTTGGGAAAATGGGCTTCTCACCTTCCTCTTTATAAGTGCAAACAGTTTCAAAATTTTCCCTTGACTAGTTTTCCAGGAAACTTTGAAATGTGTGTGACTGTATTCCCAACTAATTCAGTTTTTGTAGGTTGATTTCCAAGATTTTTCATGTGGCTATTTTCCACTGCAAAAATTTGAAATTTTGGGAAAATGAGCTTCTTACCTTCTTCTTTACAGGCAAAAATTTTCCATTCACTAGTTTTCCAGGAAAACTGTTAAATATGTGAGACTGTATTTTCAATTAATTCAGTTATTGTAGGTTGATTTTCAATATTCCTCATGTTGTTATTTTCCACTGGAAACAATTGAAATTTTGGTAAAATGAGCTTCTCAGCTTCCTCTTTACATGCAAAAAGTTTTAAAACTTTCCCTACACTAGTTTTTCAGGAAAACTTTGAAATGTGTGAGACTGTATTTTCAATTAATTCAGTTTTTGTAGGTTTGTTTCCAATATTTCTTATGTTATTATTTTCCATTGGAAAACTTTGAAATTTTGGGAAAAGGAGCTTCTCACCTTCCTCTTTATAAGTGCAAACAGTTTCAAAATTTTCCCTTCACTAGTTTTCCAGGAAACTTTGAAATATGTGTGAGACTGTATTCTCAACTAATTCAGTTTTTGTAGATTGATTTCCAAGATTTTTCATGTGGCTGTTTTCCACTGGAAAAATTTGAAATTGCGGGAAAATGAGCTTCTCATCTTCTTCTTTACATGCAACAAGTTTCAAAATTTTCCCTTCACTAGTTTTCCAGGAAAACTCTTAAATATGTGAGACTGTATTTTCAATTAATTCAGTTATTGTAGGTTGATTTCCAATATTCCTCATGTTGTTATTTTCCACTGGAAAAATTTGAAATTTTGGAAAAATGAGCTTCTCACCTTCCTATTTACATGCAAAAAGTTTCAAAATTTTCCCTTCACTAGTTTTCCAGGAAAACTCTTAAATATGTGAGATTGTATTTTCAAATAATTCAGTTATTGTAGGCTGATTTTCAATATTCCTCATGTTGTTATTTCCCACTGGAAAAATTTGAAATATTGGGAAAATGAGCTTCTCACCTTCCTATTTACATGCAAAAAGTTTCAAAATTTTTCCTTCACTAGTTTTCCAGGAAACTTTGAAATGTGTGCGACTGTATTCCCAACTAATTCAGTTTTTGTAGGTTGATTTTCAAGATTTTTCATGTGGCTGTTTTCCACTGGAAAAATTTGAAATTTTGGGGAAAATGAGCTTCTCACCTTCTTCTTTACATGCAAAAAGTTTCAAAATTTTCCCTTCACTAGTTTTCCAGGAAAACTCTCAAATATGTGAGACTATATTTTCAAGTTATTCAGTTATTGTAGGTTTGATTTCCAATATTCCTTATGTTGTTATTTTCCACTGAAAAAATTTGAAATTTTGGGAAAATGAGCTTCTCACTTTCCTCTTTACATGCAAAAAGTTTCAAAATTTTCCTTTCACTAGTTTTTCAGGAAAACTTTGAAACATGTGAGACTGTATTTTCAATTAATTCAGTTTTTGTAGGTTAATTTCTAATATTTCTTATGTTATTATTTTCCATTGGAAAAATTTGAAATTTTGGGAAAATGAGCTTCTTACCTTCTTCTTTACAGGCAAAAATTTTCCATTCACTAGTTTTCCAGGAAAACTGTTAAATAAGTAACACCATACCAAGTAATCTGACAAATTTAGACCAACTTAATAAGTATTTTACGCAAATAACAAATAGCAATGATATACCTAACCAAGAACTCATAAACTTTTATAAAAATAATTTATTGGTCAATGAAACTTTTTTTTTTCAGCCAGTTAGCGAATATTTGATTTCCAAAATTCTCCTTAAACTCAAATCTAAAGCTGTAGGATCGGACAATCTCAATATAACGCTGATTACTTTGTGTTGTCCATTTATAATTCCATTTATAACACACATTATAAATTGCTGCCTAAGTGAATCACACTTTCCCCAATCTTGGAAGTCCGCCAATGTAATTCCTCTCCCCAAAATTAAAAATCCTACCGAGTTTGGTCATTTACGATCAATTTCTATTTTACCCACTCTCTCAAAAATCCTTGAAAAAGTTATGGAACTTCAGATAAATACATTCCTCAACAACAATAACATAATACCCAGCAAACAATCCGGCTTTAGAGCGGGCTATAGCTGCTCAACAGCTTTGTCTGATTTAACTGATGATATAGTGCGGGCGCAGGACAACAGCAATGCTAGTGTGCTCATTTTATTAGACTATACAAAAGCATTTGACATGGTTCAACATGAAATTCTTCTGTCGATTTTAAAATACGTAGGCTTCAGTAAGTCGGCGTCTCTACTTGTGTCCTCATTCCTTTCAAAGAGATCTCAAAGAGTTACTCTTGACGGACAATATTCGGAATCTCTTAATGTCTTTGCGGGAGTGCCTCAGGGTAGTATTTTGGGTCCTCTTCTGTATAGTATATTCACCTCTAACTTTATAAAATCATTAAAATTTTGTCAATACCACTTATACGCAGACGATACGCAAATCTATTTATCTTTCAAACCTTCAGAAGTAGCTGCAACCAATAAGCTGATCAATGAAGATCTGAAATCGTTGCTTGATGAATCAAATAAACATTTGCTTAAAATAAATCCTAACAAATCGGTAGCTCTCCTGTTTTGTAATGAAAATATTAGAAATGATCTTTTAGGCAATATTGAACTAAATCTAGGACAAGACACGATATCATTTAAAAATTCTCCTAAAAACTTGGGACTTGTCATGGATAGCAAACTCAAATTTAAAGAACACATAACACTTTGCTTAAAAAGAGCATATTCAGTTTTGAGGGGTTTATACCAACAACTCCTACACTACTGTAGTGTAGGAGTTGTTGTTTATACTCTCATAGACACTATCTTTGTCAAAGAACTAAAACTTTGCTTTGCGACTCTTTAATTCTCTCGCATTTTAATTTTTGCGATCACCTATATGGGCCTTTTTTGGATTCGATAGATGTTAGGAGAGTCCAAAAGGTTCAGAACTCTTGCATTAGGTTTGCGTGTGGAATAAGACGAAGAGACCGAGTTTCACACAAACTAAATGAATTGGGCTGGTTAAGTATGTTTAACAGGCGTAGTCTGCACTCACTATGCTTCTTTTATAAATTAATAAAATTTAAAACTCCACCATACCTACACAATAAAATCAAATATCGAACTGACATTCATAATTTAAACATTCGCAGGAAACAGCTTTTGACAATACCGTCTCACAATAAAGAATTCTTCAAAAAGTCATTCAGCTATACCATTGCCACACTCATTAACAAATATGAAATAATTGATTTTTCTACATCTGTTGGTGTTTTTAAAAAAAGAATGAAATTAAAACTAATTTAAAATATAATATATTATATTTCCTGCTCTAGATAAATCGCCCTTAATTTCCTGCACATAAATAATTGGGTACATCATGAAATTCCTATCTGCTTTAATATTATTCTCCGCTCTAGTATATATATTATTCTCTACCATGTGCCCTCTTTTTCTTTTTCTTTTCTTTCCTTCTTTTCTCTATTTTTCCACCTCCTTCTTCTCTTTCTTCGTCTTACAGTTTAAATATCAAGTGCGTTACTTGATTTTCATATTCATAGATCTTAGATAAGCCTTTCTTTATATTTTATTTTAAGCAATTTTTTGGGGCCTCAACAGCACTCATGCTTGCGTGGGATGCTGCAAATATGGCCTATTATTCCCCACATTTATCTTAGTTAACTGTTTGGAATGTAATTTTTCTGGAGATAATAAATATTATTATTATTATTATTATTATTATTAAATATGTGAGACTGTATTTTCAATTAATTCAGTTATTGTAGGTTGATTTTCAATATTCCTCATGTTGTTATTTTCCACTGGAAACAATTGAAATTTTGGTAAAATGAGCTTCTCAGCTTCCTCTTTACATGCAAAAAGTTTCAAAATTTTCCCTTCACTAGTTTTTCAGGAACATTGAAGAAACGTGTGTGACTGTATATTCAATTAATTCAGTTTTTGTAGGTTTATTTCCGATATTTCTTATGTTATTATTTTCCATTGGAAAAATTTGAAATTTTGGGAAAATGAGCCTCTCACCTTCCTCTTTACATGCAAACAGTTTCAAAATTTACGTGCAAACAGTTTCAAAAAAATTCACTAGATTTCCAGGAAACTTTGAAATGTGTGCGACTGTATTCCCAACTAATTCAGTTTTTGTAGGTTGATTTCCAAGATTTTTCATGTGACTGTTTTCCACTCGAAAAGTTTGAAATTTTGAGAAAATGAGCTTCTCACCTTCCTCTTTACATTTCAAAACTTTGAGATATGTGATTAGGTATATATTTTCAATTAATTGAGTTATTGTAGGTTGATCTCGAGATTGATTTCTAATATTCCCTCTGTTATTATTTTCCAGTGAAAAAATTTGGCATTTTGGGAAAATGAGCTTTTCACCTTGCTCTTTATATGAAAAAAGTTTTAAAATTTTCCCTTCAGTAGTTTTCCAGGAAAACTTTGAAATGTGTGAGATTGTTTTTTTAACTAATTCAGTTTTTGTAGGTTGATTTCCAAGATTTTTTATATTACTGTTTTCTAATGGAAAAATTTAAAATTTTGGGAAAATGATCTTCTCACCTTCCTCTTTACATGCAAAAAGTTTCAAAATTTTCCCTTTTTTTAGAGGAATTTGTGGGGTATTTGGAGAAATTTGTGATTGGATGTATCTGAAGGAATTTGCAGTAATTTTGAGGAATTATGTGTAAAATATTCCCCTTTGAGGAATTGTTTGCACCTATTTTGGGATGGTGGTTTACCCCTTAACTTTAGTTCTGAGTTTTGTTCTAACTTCCAGCTTGTTGTTTTGGAGACTGAAAAAACCCCAAATAATAAATCTTGAAAGTCTCAAGTCATTAAGAAGGTTGAAACTATTTTGCAGCTACCAATGTGTCAAAGAAGCTTTCCAAAAATTATTCAAAATACCGTTACAAAAAGGATACATGTGGCAGGTGCTACATAAAGGAAAATCAAAGAATAAAACAAGTAGTGGGCGCTGTCCTCTTGAATCAGTTCCGCTAAAAATTGCCTGGAAAGTTGCACCCTTCCCAGTCTCTGATGCAACCTCAAGGCACTGATGGCTGCATTGGCTATAAGGACTTTGTAGTACGCACTTTGAGCTTGTCTGCAATATGAAAATAAATATAAATCCAAGGTGAAATTTTATTTGAGGATTTTATTTTTAACTGGAAACTGTTTCGAATTTATTGTCAATAGGAAAATAATTGCCCGGCAATGTATTTTGATCCCAATTAAAACAAATTAATTGAGGCGACTTTGAAATGATTATTAAAAATCTTCACCTTGTATAACTAGGGTACAAAAATTTCTCCTAATTACCATACAAATTATTAATAAAAAATGTCACGCCTTACCCGAAAATTGGGATAAAATATCCAAAGGAAAACAGGAAAACTAGCAGGCGAATCGCCCAAAGACCGCAGTCTATTTTATGGGCTATAAAGTGCTCCTTTAGGGCATTAAAATTGGGGCCCCCTTGTTGCGGTGGGGCTGAATTTGTTGTTGTCGAATCGGCCATGGCAAATATTTATAATTTTAAAAAGAATGATAATTTTAAATAGATTTTTTCTTCAGGAGGAGCAATTAAATCACCATCACACAATATATTCACACAAAAAAATTTTTTGATGAAATTGAAAAATTGGATGGAAAACTTCAAAAATGGTTTAAATGACGTTTGACGTGACGTCCATTGTCTTGATGCACTGTTGTCAAACTTAAATTACTCAATGGGATAATTGGGGGCTTAAATGTTTAATGCTAATCATTTTAACACGCCCTGACTTTAATTAAACAATTTTCCTTTCTACTGAATAGAATTATCAATCAGAAAGTGAAACATATAATTTTAGTTAAGTTGCAGTTTGGCAATAGCGCGGAGAAGGTCTACAGACACAGCCGCATATGACAAGTATTTGTCAGTGTCAGTGTCAAAAGACAGGTTAAAATAATTTTTTGACACTCAGAAAATTTTTTTTTAGTGGCAGTTGATTTTTTTTATTCATCTAGTAGTTAAATTACTATAAAAATCTAGTGAATTCCCCATTCAAATTCCTTCAAACCATGGTAAATATCCTACAAGCAAATACCTACAATTGGCTACATTGGCAAAAGGGTTGTTTTGATCGGCCCTTTTTCCACAGAGCTTAACCCAGATTACGGATAGGGACGAGCCCATTGCATTGTCCCCGTTTCATTTTTTGCATGTTGAATATTCTATAATCCCGATTTTTTTCCAGGGTAACGAAAGTTCCCTGCCCATGGAACTATGCTCCAACTGTAAGTATACGAAAATAGATTTAATTAATACTTAACTTTGCTGGCCGGGGTTTCGCTTTTAATGGGCGAATCCAATTTGGACGAAAAACAACTTTTTATTGAAGCAATTTTTACTGTTAATTATTCAGCTTTAGAATATTGTTTGTCCAAGGTTGCTTTTTCCAAAATCGTCAAGTTATCCAGTGTTTTAAGTACCGAATCAAATTACATTGTAGTAGAAATATTAGGCCAAGTTTTGCCATAGTGTATGATTTAATTAAACACTTGGTCATTGTTAGTGGAAATGGCAGTTTTTTGCTTATTGAAAATAAAAATCGAGTTTTCACACTACTGCTGCAGGGGTCGTATTTTCGAATTCATTCGAGTACACTTCGTACACGAAATTTGACTGACAGCAATGTAAATTAAATGGGGAGCATTCGAAATCATATCAAATTTTGTATGCGAGAATATTCGAAAATACAACCCCAGAAATGCAGGCTATAGTAGGACTGTGACATCAAAGTCCCAACAAAAATGCAAAGCTGCCAAATTTCTCATCCTCGTTCTCATCAGTACATCAGTCCAAAACATGCCTGTGTAAGATTAGACTATTGTACTACAAAGTTGAACTTTAGTACATATTTTAATTCATTTTCAAGTTCTGTGATGTCTGACATAAATATTTGACATATTTATATTTGTCTAGCTAGCTTATGTTGTGTCACTGATGGCCATTTGCATGGCTATCACTTAACTACCACTTAAGGGATATTGAATCTACGTGGAGCTTTGATTGTGACTTTTGTTTCTACAAGAGTCACATTCAAAACTTCACTTGGATTAAATACCCCTTAAGTTGTAGCGGTGCAAATGGCCGTGAGACCCAGATTTACAATCTCGGTTCAAAACAAAGTTCAACTGAACTCGACTGGTACTTGAGCTTATCCATTTAAAATATATTGCTGTCAGCTATTAATCAACTTCTATCATTTTTGACAGCAATGCATTTCAAATGGGGAAGTTCAAGTATCAGTCGAGTTCAGCTGAACTCTATTTTGAACCAAGATTGTACAACTGAGCCTAACTAGAACTTATTTGCGCCCTTTACTATGCAATAAAAAAATAAAGGATAGGTATAATCAATGTTATAATTTAGTTACCTAGTACAATTATTAAGAGTGCGCTTCTCGATGCTGAAAAAATAGGTATTTCCCGTTTGCGACTATGCTGTTTTAATAAAAACAGTTGCATCTAGGGAATTCTAACAAAAACTGTTTCCAAGAATGTGCTTTTGTGCTTGCTTGACCAGTATTTTTTTTTTTGATTTTTCTCATTTTTTGGAAAAAAAAATTCATAAAAAGAGAAAAATCAAAAAAAATTTACTGGTCAAACACGCGCATAAACATATCCTTGAAAAAAGTTATGGGTTAAAATTTCCTAGATACAACTGTTTTTGTTAAAATAGCAAAGGCGCACTCGCGATTTTCAGTATCGAGAAGCGCACTCTTAACCTAAATACAAGGGGCAAACCACCTAAGAATTCTGTGCCAAAAATGTGGGAAATTTAAAGGAATTTCTGGGGAATTTGAAGAAACTCGTCGGAATTTATGGGAATTTGAGGAATTTATAGAGAATTCGGAGAAATTTATGGGGAATTTGAAGGAATTTGTGAGGAATTTATGAGGAATTTAAAGGAAATTATAGTCATAACTCATAACGTCACTAAGGTTCACATTCCTATTATAAGAAACACTAATAAATGGAATTTAAAAAAAAAAAAAAAACTAGTTTTGTGTTGAATGTTGGACATTCATTTTCATTAAGGAAATTTTCTCAAAATTTCACTTCATGATTTTCAGGTCCAAATTTAAAAAATTCAAAACAATAATGAGTACAGTTTTTGTAGGGTGATTTCCAAGATTCTTCATGTTGCTGTTTTTTACTGGAAAAATTTGAAATTTTGAGAAAATGAGCTTCTAACCTTCCTCTTCTCTTGCGAAAATTTTCAAATTTTTCCTTTCACTATTTCGCCAGGAAAAATTTGAAATGTGTGAGACTGTATTTTTAACTAATTCAGTTTTTGTAGGTTGATTTTCAAGATTTTTCATATTGCTGTTTTCTACTGGAAAAATTTGAAATTCTGGGAAAATGAGCTTCTCACTTTGCTATTTATATGCAAAAAGTTTCAAAATTTTCCCTTCACTAGTTTTCCAGGAAAACTTTGAAATATGTGATACTTACTGTATTTTCAATTAATTCAGTTATTGTAGGTTTATTTCCAATATTCCTCATGTTGTAATTTTCTACTGGGAAAATTTGAAATTTTGGGAAAACGAGCTTCTCAGCTTCCTTTTTACATGCAAAATGTTTCAAAATTTTCCCATCACTAGTTTTCCAGGAAAACTTTGAAATATATGATACTGTATTTTCAATTAATTCAGTTATTGTAGGTTGATTTCCAATATTCCCTATGTTGTTATTTCCCACAAATTTTGGGAGAATGAGCTTTTCACCTTCTTCTTTATATGCAAAAAGTTTCAAAATTTTCCCTTTATCAGTTTTCCAGGAAAACTTTGAAATGTGTAAGATTGTATTTTCAATTAATTCAGTTATTGTAGGTTGATTTCCAAGATTCCTCATGTTGTAATTTTCTACTGGAAAAATTTGAAATTTTGGCTAAACGAGCTTCTCACCTTCTTCTCTACATGCAAAAAGTTTCAAAATGTTCCCTTTACTAGTTTTCCAGAGAAACTTTGAAATGTGTGAGACTGTATTTTCAACTAATTCAATTTTTGTAGGTTGATTTCCAAGATTCCTCATGTAATTTTCTACTGGAAAAATTTGAAATTTTGGGAAAATGAGCTTCTGACCTTCCTCTTTACCTGCAAAAAGGTTCAAAATTTTCCCTTTACTAGTTTTCCAGGAAAATTTTAGAATGTGCAAGATTGTATTTTCAACTAATTCAGTTTTTGTAAGTTGATTTCCAAGATTCCTCATGTTGTAATTTTCTGCTGGAAAAATTTGAAATTTTGGCTAAATGAGCTTCTCACCTTCTTCTCTACATGCAAAAAGTTTCAAAATGTTCCCTTTACTAGTTTTCCAGAGAAACTTTGAAATGTGTGAGACTATATTTTCAACTAATTCAGTTTTTGAGGTTAATTTCCAACATTTTCCATGTTGCTGTTTTTTACTGGAAAAATTTGAAATTTTGGGAAAATGAGCTTCTCAGCTTCCTCTTTACATGCGAAAAGTTTCAAAATTTTCCCCTAGTTTTCCAGGAAAATTTTAGAATATGCGAGACTGTATTTTCAACTAATTCAGTTTTTGTAGGTTGATTTCCAAGATTTTTACTACTAGAAAAATTTAAAATGTGTGAGACTATATTGTCAATTAATTCAATTATTGTAGGTTGATTTCCAATATTCCTTATGTTGTTATTTTCCACGGGAAAAATTTAAAATTTAGGGAAAATGAGCTTTTTACCTTTCTCTCTAGATGCAAACAGTTTCAAAATTTTCCCTTCACTAGTTTTCCAGGAAGCTTTGAAATGTGTGAGACTGTATTTTCAACTAATTCAGTTTTTGTAGGTTAATTTCCAAGATTTTTCATGTTGCTGTTTTCTACTGGAAAAATTTGAAATTTTTGGAAAATGAATTTCTCAGCTTCCGCTTTATATGCAAAAAGTTTCAAAATTTTCCCTTTACTAGTTTTCCAAGAAAACTTTGAAATATATGAGACTGTATTTTCAATTAATTCAGTTATTGTAGGTTGATTTCCAATATTCCCTATGTTGTTATTTTCCACTGGAAAAATTTGAAATTTTGGGAAAATGAGCTTTTCACCTTTTTCTTTATATGCAAAAAGTTTCAAAATTTTCCCTTTACTAGTTTTCCAAGAAAACTTTTAAATATGTGAGACTGTATTTTCAATTAATTCAGTTATTATAGGTTGATTTCCAATATTCCTCATGTTGTTATTTTCCACTGGAAAAATTTGAAATTTTGTGAAAATGAGCTTCTCACCTTCTTCTTTACATGCAGAAAGTTTGAAAATTTTCCCTTCACTAGTTTTCCTGGAAAACTTTGAAATGTGTAAGACTGTATTTTCAATTAATTCAGTTATTGTTGGTTGATTTCCAATCTTCTTCATGTTGTTATTTTCCACTGGAAAAATTTGAAATTTTGTGAAAATGAGCTTCTCACCTTCCTCTTTACATGCAGAAAGTTTGAAAATTTTCCCTTCACTAGTTTTCCAGGAAAACTTTGAAATGTGTAAGACTGTATTTTCAATTAATTCAGTTATTGTTGGTTGATTTCCAATATTCCTCATGTTGTTATTTTCCACTGGAAAAATTTGAAATTTTGTGAAAATGAGCTTCTCACCTTTCTTTTTACATGCAGAAAGTTTGAAAATTTTCCCTTCGCTAGTTTTCCAGGAAAACTTTTAAATGTGCTGTATTTTCAATTAATCCAGTTATTGTAGGTTGATTTCCAATTTTCCCTATGTTGTTATTTTCCACTGGAAAAATTTGAAATTTTGGGAAAATGAGTTTTACCCCTTTTTTTTACATGCAAAAAGTTTCAAAATGTTCCCTTCAGTAGTGTTCCATGAAAACTTTGAAACGTGAGAGACTGTATTTTCAACTAATTCAGGTTTTGTAGGTTGATTTCCAAGATTTTTCATGTTGCTATTTTTTAATGGAAAAAATTGAAATTTTGGGAAAATAATCTTCTCACCTTTCCCTTTACATGCAAAAAGTTTCAAAATTAGGGCCCTTTTTTTAGAGGAATTTGTGAGGTATTTGGAGAAGTTCGTGGTGGGCTATTTGGAGGAATTTGTGATGGGGTATCTGAAGGAATTTTGAGGAATTTGCAGTAATTTTGAGGAATTATGGGTAAAAAATTCTCCTTTGAGGAATTGTTTGCACCAATTCTGGGATGGTGGTTCACCCCTTGACTAATAAGTAATAGGAAAAACATGTGGCATCCATACTGACAGACACTTCAATGGAAACTTCGCGTTTCTAATGTGGAAACAAAATATAGGAATATTGGCTCTAGCCAATGAGAGGGCGTTTTCAGTCACGTAATTTTTCGTTTAAATTTGCCTCGAAATTTGCTATTTTTATCTATTTTTTTTTTTTAATTTTATTTATTTATTTTTTTAGCATAGTAAATCACAATAATAAATAACAATATTGTTCTTAAGATTATCAGTTGTACTTTTTTTTCCCATCTTCAGAAAACATCTAAAGATTTTATTATATTTAAATCTATATTCTACCACTACACTAAAATGTTTTACCAACACGATGGATGTTTCAAAATCTGTGTGTGCTGGTAGTTCTCTTAAATAAATTTACATTATGTTCAAGGTTATATCACTAGGTACGCATTAGAGTTTCTTATATTGATCTTTCTGTTCTAAACTACAATGACACTTAGATTAGAAATTCAAGGAAAAATTACTCTCTATAATCCATTGATTGACCAGATGCTTTACTTTTTTAAATGGTCCACCTTTAATAAGAACAGGGAGGGCATTGTACACTGTGGGACCCGTGTAGCTGATATGTCTCTGCGTTGCAGAGAGCCTGACAAAGGACAATGCCAAGTTCTGATTTGCAGCACTACGAATATTGTGGTTAGTTGATAATTTATTTCTGTAGCAGCTATTGGTTAACATGAATCTTATCACAGCCCTAGTGTACAATTGTTCTACAGATAACAATTTACTCTCCTGAAAAAGAAGTTCAGTTGAGAATCTTTTACCCTTAAACATCATGATTTTAATTATGTATTTTTGGGCAATAATAAGACTGGATGTTGTGGTTTTGTTTGCGCCCCCCAAGTTACTATACCATAAGTCAATATGGACTCAACCAATGAGAAATATATCATTTTCAGCATTTTTGGAGGCAGAATATTTCTGAGTTCATAAAATTTATGTATAAGCTTCCTAACTTTTTTTGTGACATAATCAGTATGAGTTTTCCAATTTAATTTTTCATCAAGACATATACCCAAATACTTCACAGACTCAACTCTTTCAATTCTATCATCACATTCACATCTACTTATTTTATTATCAGTGAGACAGTTAGTCTTGTGAATTTTGAGACTCCGGATCGTCGGTAGGGTTCTTGGGGTATGGCCAAATGTGAGGAACTTTGTCTTTTCAACGTTCAGTGATAGAAGACTGTGATCGAGCCAACATTTTATTTTTGAGATGGCAATTTCAGCTTTTTTTATGGCAACATTCCATGATTCACCTTGCACTACTATCACTGTATCGTCTGCGAAGCAAAACACTGTCCCCTCCTCATCAAGGACCGAAAGAACATCATCAATATAGATGCTAAACAATATTGGGCCAAGCACCGTCCCCTGTGGCACACCACAAACCACCGCAAGAGGCTCACTCATAACATTTCCAATTTTGACTCTTTGAGTTCTGTTTGTTAAGTATGACTTTATAAGTTTATATACTACTCCTCTAATTCCAATTTTGTGAAGCCTCTGCAGTAGTATGTGATGCGCCACAGTGTCGAATGCCTTCTTCAGGTCCAAGAAGATACCCACAACTCTTTTTCCCTCATCCAGACCTCCAAAAATCATCTCAGTAACCCTTGCCAAAGCACTTTCGGTACTGGAGTTTTTTTTGTTTTTTAGTTTCGATATTTGAAATTTTGACTATTTTTGGTTATTAATTTATTTAATAATCTGACTAAAATCTTGCAAATTATTTTCTATTCTTGGCTGCATTCATGTATCTACGTCAAGAAAATATTATAATTTGCCATATATGCCTGGAACTTGAAAGTGGCCTATTTCCAAACGACAAACTGTATTTTCAGACATAAAAGGGAACTGAATTCAATCAATCAATCAATCAATATATGCTTTATTGTCGTAAAAAACAATTGATCTTTATAGACAAAGCAAAGTATAGGGCTTTAAAACAAAATAAAATAAAATATAAAGACATATAAAATCACAACATTTAAATACAAAAATTTTACAAATAAAATCAAAAGAAAATACAAATAATAGAAACATACTTAAGCAAAATACACTTTGGCCTAACAAAATCTAAACTTATATATAAATACCCGGTTTATTTTTATAACCTGTCATCAAAATATTCATCCAAGGAATAATAGGCTTTATCAACCAGCAACGCTTTTACCGTTCTTCTAAAAGTCTGTATATTATGTAGTCTTCTACAGTCAGATGGCAATTTATTGAAAATTTTAATGCTGTCATAAATCAGGGATTGCTTTGTAAGGCTGGATCTTGGAATTGGGAGGGGAATATTTTCCTGGTTCCTAAAGTTATAGCTCGGGGCAGAGATTACATCCCTGAATTTTTTAAAAATTAAGCAACTGTTTCCAATATAAAAATGCATGTGACAGTTAAAATCTGATGTTTCAAAAATAGGGGCTTGCAATGTTCTCTTACATCCGCCCCACATAAGTATCTTATTGCCCTCTTCTGCAAAACAAATACCGAATCCAAAAGGGTTCTGTTACAGCAACCCCAGAATGCCACTCCATAACGCAAAAACGACTGAATCAAAGCAAAATATGTTGTCCTGGCCATTCTGAATCCCAACGCAGAAACCGTTTGACGCACGGCAAAACACCCCGAGGCTAGTTTCCTATTTAAATTTGTTATGTGCTCACTAAATTTTAGTCTATCATCAATATAGATTCCCAGAAATTTTGCAGTATTAGAACCCCTTATTACCTTGTCACCAAGGGGAATGTCACTAATGGATAGCTTGAAACTTAATACCTTTGTTTTTTCTATGTTAAAACAGAGAAAGTTGCTATTGCACCCCTCTTTAATCTTGCCCATATCCTCAGAAATAATCTGTTTTAAAACCTCTGGGTCTTTATGATGCCATAAAACAGTGGTGTCGTCAGCAAAGATAGTAAAAAAACCTTGTATATTAGTTCTAATTAAATCATTGATGTATAAAAGAAAAATAACTGGGCCAAGCACCGAACCCTGAGGAACCCCATGATTTATTGGTCTAGGATCTGAGGCCTGGCACCCATTCCTGACCATTTGCTTCCTCCAACCCAAATATGATCTAAAAAACCTCAGCACACTACCTCTAAAGCCATACATATGTAGTTTTTTTAACAGCAATTCATGGTTAACGCAGTCAAAGGCTTTAGAGAAGTCGCAAAAAACGGCCGCGGCATATTTCCGATCATTCAGTTTGAAATAAAGCTCCTCTAAAAAAGAAAAGACAGCGTCATTTGTACCCGTACCATCTTGAAAGCCAAACTGAAATTTGTTCAAAATTTTATGTTTATCTAGAAATTGCAGCATACGCTCTTTAACAATTTTTTCAATTATCTTAGATAGCGAAGGTAAAAGGGAAATAGGTCTAAAATTAACTGGATTATCATGAGTACCGGATTTATGCAATGGCACTACTATAGAGGTCTTCAAGCATTCAGGAAAGTTCCCAGTTGAAAATTTTTTATTTATTGCCTGAGCCAATATATTTAAAGTTCTGTCATCAAGATTAAGAAACAGTGACAACGGAATGTCATCGTTGCCCGCACCATTCCGATTTTTTATATTCCTCAAAACAACCCTAATTTCGGCAATATTTGTTGATGTGAGCAGGAAATCGTCGGCAATAAAAGTGTCCTTCAAGTAATCTAAAGGATCTGTCTCAGACTGCAACCCCGCTGTCAAACTTTCCGCGATTGTACAAAAATAGTCATTAATAATGTTAGGATCCATGTCTATAGGTTTATTTTGAGTGCTGTTTTTACCTCTTAAATCATTTACTATGTTCCAACACTCTTTACTTTTGTTTTTTGCTTCCCTTATCCTATTGTTGTAATATATACTTTTAGCCGCTTTAATCAATCTACGATAAGTGCTCCTATATCTGTTAACATATTCAATGAAGTTTAAGTTATCTGTAAACTTTTTCAAATAGCAGAGGCATCTTAGATTTTTCGCAGAAACCCTTATCCCTTTTGAAATCCAGAGCTGCTTTTTGTTTTTTTGCCTCATTCGACACACTGGAAAAGACATGTCAAATGACCCCTTCAACAGCGAATGAAATTCCTGAACAGGATCACCTGATCTTAGAATAATATTCCAGTTAATTTCTGAACAGCTTCGCTTAAATTTATTAAAATTTTTCCTACTATATATTCTGCCCATTTTTTTTTTGGAAATTCTAGTATAAATGTGAATTTAATATACACAAAAATACTCTTCATGAGTAATACAATAAACATGGATTCATCTACTTATTATTTACTCACAGAAAGCTGATGTAGAGCAAATATTCCATTCAAAAATATTTCAAAGTACTTGCTTGGCTTGTATTTATACAATGCTTGTATGATGCCTATTTTTCAGGAATATTCTTATAGATTAAATACCTAATTATAACTTGAATAAATTGATTAATTTTAATTTTGTAAAGTTTCCAAATGTTCTTCACCAATGTCACGTTCTTATTACCAAAATACTTATTGCAGATTATCAAATGAATAATATGACAATAATATTAAGGTGAAGTAGAATACAGAAAATCAATTATCAAAATAAGCTATAGAAAAATCTAATAAGTACATAAGTAGGTATTACATTTTATACTTCTGAAGATTCTTAATGACTGAGCTAAAATTCTCGTAATTCGTTTATTCTTCAACATAGAAACTCTTCCTTTAGAATTTAAGAGAGAGAAAAAAAAGATTCACCAAATCAACTGATAGTATCACCAGATGATTCTCCATATTTACCAAGCTTTGTAAATCTGGATATTTAACTCGACTAACAATAACAAATGATTAATGAATCAATTTTTTTTTTCTTCACATAATTCAGTCGATGCTGACGAAATTCGGCGTCTCGGTAAACGTTTCCGGAAACTAGATCTGGATAATTCAGGAGCTTTGAGCATCGACGAGTTTATGTCGTTGCCCGAACTCCAGCAAAATCCTCTCGTTCAACGCGTCATCGATATATTTGACGCCGATGGAAATGGAGAGGTCGATTTTAAAGGTAAAATAATAAATCAAAAATAATCAATTTAAGTTTAATTGTTTTTTGTATAATATAGAGTTTATACAAGGCGTATCGCAATTCAGCGTCAAGGGCGACAAACTGTCCAAACTGAGATTTGCTTTTAGAATCTACGACATGGACAACGACGGATATATTTCCAATGGAGAATTGTTCCAGGTAATAATCATAATATAATTTTTTTTTTTTTTAATACAAGTTAACAAATCTCATCAGGTTTTGAAAATGATGGTTGGCAACAACTTGAAAGACACTCAACTGCAACAGATCGTTGACAAGACCATTTTGTTTGCTGACAAGGATGAAGATGGCAAAATTTCTTTTGAAGAGTTTTGCAATGTTGTTGGTAACACTGACATACATAAAAAGATGGTTGTTGATGTCTAAATCAACAACAATTGCATGTAATAATAAATTATCACTTGAAGCTAATTAATAATTAGCTTCGGTGTGATAAATTATAATTATTTTGCTATATTATAGTTGAAATCGTTTTTTAGCAAACTAGGTGTTATTTATTATGAAAAAATCGTTTAATTTTGGTTTGCTGTCTATATAGGGTTTGTTTTTCTAGTCATAATTATTGATTTTTGGGTTCATATGCTTAAAAAATTAATTTTAGACAGCGGCCATAGCACTTTTAATAAAATAGCATTAAAAATAGGAATTTTAATCTCTTCGCTTTTACCAGTTATTCATTGTAAAAAAAAAATCTATAGTCGTTGCACGAGAAGCTTGTTGTTTAGTGTTAATTAACAATTATCCAATACATTAATTATTAACCCATTTTAAGTGGGTTGAGATTAATTATTATTATTCTAGGTGTTGTGTGTTTAGCGCTTAAAAAAAAAAAAAAATTATTGGGATTTTTGTTGAATTTAATAATTAATTCACAGTAGATGTACGGGGCCTAGGGCCTTTGATGGGTGAGTCAAAGACCCCACTGCCACAGAATCTACTGCAAAATCAACTTCTAAATAACCGGGGAAAATTTTACATCAAACCCTTTTGAAAATTAACGATGGATCTTGGATAGAAAGTGACATGGATGGCGTAAGCGTATCACTTTTTATTCTTAGTAATTTTTTGAAGGAATTTGATATTTGTTTAGAAGTTTATTTGGGAATTAATTTTAATATTAAGGCGTATGAAATATAAATGTATGTTTGCTAATCACTTATATAATAATTTATTGGAGAGTTCTTTTTGTTTTATTTTTAAATAATATAATGATTATACATAATGTAGTATTAAAATTATGCGTGATTATATCAATATCTATGTACTTCAAATAACTGTGTTGAATAAATATTATTTACCTCTTCTTTGTGATGATTTTTATTGCAGATAATGAATAATCCTTCAATTCACCATAAGGTCTTTTATGTCCTAAAGATATTATATTGACCAATATCCATTGGGTATTCTGAATGTCCAAAAGGTCTAAAATTATAAGTATTTGAGGGGTTTGAAGTCCTGTGGGAAAGCCACGGTTTTTTTGAAAGTTTCTTGCATTCAAGAATTGCCTGTTTTGAGGCCTGATATTAATTAAGATTTTGATTTGGTTTTGCACCTGGAAAGCTTCAAAATTGAATTTATCGAACAATGAAAATTTTCCAAAAATGACACTGAGACAGTTTTTGCTTCGCAGCTCCGTTAATTTTCATCCAATTTCAGTGTGGTAGCCGATTGAAATTTTCAGGGATTGTAGTCCTCTACTGGAATAAGAATCGCTGAAAATTTCAGCTTTATATCTTTATTAGAAAAAAAGTTATGATCTTCCAAAGTTTTCAAAATCTAAATCATAAGGTACCATCGTCACCAAAAGTAACTGGGACAGCATCACATTAGCTCTTGTCCTATTATATGAATTTTATTGTCAAATATTTGTCAAACTATGATTTAAATGCATTGAAATGACTGACAGTAGAATTAGTTCAGGAGATTTTTATGCATTATTTGTGTCCCAGATACTTTTGGTGACGATGGTATTTACCTACTTACTAAATGGATGAAATTTCAAATTTTTTTTTGTTGAGATTTTGTGTCCTAATGGTCATTTGGGATCCCAGAAACTCCATACACAAAATTATTTTCAGATTTGAAGCCGAAATCTATGAAAAAAGGCACTCAGAAAATTGATAAATTGATAAATCACCCCAAATTGCTTAACACGATTTATCTCAGGAACTGTTAGTCCAAATTAGTTGAAATTTTCAGAGATTGTAGTCCTCTACTGGAATAAGAATCGCTGAAAATTTCAGCTTTATATCTTAAATAGAAAAAAAGTTATGATCATCCAAAGTTTTCCAAAATCTAAATCATAAGGTAGGTAAGTACTTTCTTGCTAAATGGATGAAATTTCAAATTTCAAAAGCTCTAATCAACGCTCTAACATACTCTATTCTATGTTTAGTAGCCTTAAGAGTGAAATCCTCTTACTATTTCAAGACAATAATGAATATCTAGAAGTCAGTGCAGCAGTAGCGTATCAACCCAGCTCCGGGCCTGTGTGCCAAAATTTCTGCGAGCCCATCACAAGCCCCCCGCCGGAGGCTAAATTTTTTTTTGAGTAACCCAAATGTCGTTCAAAAAACACTCCTTATATTTTTTATTAGGTATTTTTATTTAAACGTTGAATTGTGAATTCACCATTTTCAAAAGTGGTATGAATAATTATTTCCTGTTCACAATCCGATGTCCACAGGTGCAGGTAAATTTATCACCATAGGCGCAACTAGGGGAATGCTTGGGGGTGTTAAGCAACCCTAAAGCAAAAATTAGCACTCCTATTCGGCATCTCACCATAGCACTACCTAACACTTATATAAAAAATTAGTGCAACCAAATTATTTTATGTATTTTTTTGCACTTTTTGTACTTACTTACGTCATCGATGACGTTATAATTTAGAAAATAGTATATTGTTGTATTAGGAGTAGAAGCTTTACTTTTTTGTGCTGAAGCGGTAGGTTTGTGAGGCTTGGAATACTGCTGAAGCACAAAAAAGTGCTTCTACTCCGTATGCAACACGCTATTTTTTCTCCAAACGAATGGGGTAAGCTCGGGGGCAAGTGAATAGTTGAGCGGCAGTAAAAGTATGAGCGGCACTAAAAGTACTTCTACTGCCGCTCCAGCGGCACTAAAAGTACTTCTGCTGCCGCTGGGGTTGCCAAGCAGCATAGAATAGTATATTGTTGTATTAGGAGTAGAAGCTTTACTTTTTTGTGCTGAAGCAGTAGGTTTGCGAGCCGAACGTAGTGAGGCTTGGAATACTGCTGAAGCACAAAAAAGTGCTTCTACTCCGTATGCAACACGCTATTTTTTCTCCAAACGAATGTGGTAAGCTCGGGGGTAACTGGATGGTTGAGCGGCAGTAAAAGTACGAGCGGCACCAAAAGTACTTTTGCTGCCGCTGGGGTTGCCAAGCAGCATAGAAATTAAATTTCTACCACCTCGACAGGTATTAACCCGCTGGATTTGCATAGAAGCATAGAAATCAAATTTCTGACATCTTGACAGGAGTTAACAAACTGACGTTTTTCTGACGTTTGGAGAAAAAAGGCAGTATTTGTCGTTGAATAATAATTCATAGAGCACGTTCGCAATTATTATTGTTAAAATTAAGACTTACCTACCTTAAAATATACGGTTTTTATCTTATATTAACATTTAGGATGACGTCATCGAACAAAGGTCAGACAATGTTGTCAATGTCTATGTTTATTCTATATCTTAAGGTGACATTGAAATACCGGCTCTTAAAAAATCATTGGAGTCCCAAATATATAAATTAATTAACTGCGTATTATACAGGGTGTTCTTAAATATAGACATAGTTAAATTGAACGAGGAAAACAATGCTTTCGCCTCAGAAAAGGTTATTATGCAAGAGGAGTTGAATAAAGCGAATAAACAATACCAGGAGCTTATGGAAGTAAATCGTAATATTATTGACTCCATCAGAATATTGGAGGCTGAAAATAAAATTTATCAGAGGGAAATTGAACATTTCAAGGAGCAAGCAGAGTTGATGATTGGACCAGCCATCTCCCAGTAAGTATGAGTGACATTGATGATAATAAACTTCTGCTGTTATGTGATCAAAATGGACGCTATTTGGATAAATGGTTATGGAAGAACTCAAACTTTAAGATACAGACAATAATAAAACCTGGTGCTCTGTTCAGGAACATCACTGAAGACATTATTAATTTAGTTAAGGATTTCACATTGAACGTTTATGTTGTCATTGTGGGTGAGGCAAATGATTTTTCTGGGCATAACAAGCATCCTCTCTTTAGGGATATAAATAGTAAAATCAAACATTGTACACATACAAATATTGTATTCACGTCTGTTTCAACGCAAAGAGCTAATTATAATTATAAAATCATTAAGAAATTCAACTCAAAACTTGAGGAATATTGTTCAAGACTAAATAAATATAGTGAAGGCAATGTTATGTGGTGTGATTTGGGCAACTACAGGGAAGAGCAATACTTACAACTGCTGCTACAGCAAGTGCTATGTAAAAAACCTTGTAAGAATCTGATATTTGTTCCAATTTCGAAAGATGTTATTACAGCTGATATTAGCAATGCTTGCCAAAATGCACGGAATTCTTTTTTAGGCCCACTCCGCATGGATGTAGTAATAGAATAGATAAAGACAAGAGTGCTCTTAGTTTTAGTTTGATTTACTTTAATGCAGGTAGTATTTATGCACATTTTGATGAAATACATAGTTTAATAATTACTAAGAAACCTAATGTGGTATGTATATCAGAGACTCATCTAACTGAGAATATAGATGCGTCTGAGGTATTTGTTGAGGGTTACAGGTGTATGAGAGTAGATAGTGTTAGTAGGCATACAGGTGGGGTGCAGATTTATGTTGAGAATAGGATTAGAGTTATTAACATACAACAGCTGTCTCATAACAAAGATTATTGGATTTTGAGTTTGAAGATCCAAATTTACAATAAGTTATTTAGAGTTGCTTGCATCTATAGATCTCCAAGTTCGAGTAGTGCAGATTTTTTAGATTTTTTCGAGGGCTGGTATGAAGAATATATATTATGTGACGTTAAAACGCCAATAATTGTGGCAGGTGATTTTAATTTGAATTGGTTAATAAATGATACATATACAAATAGGTTAAGATTATATAGTAAAGAGGCAGGACTCAACCAGTTAGTTACAAAAGTGACTAGACCAGCGAATAGGGGATGTGAAGGTACGCTTATTGACCTGATTTTCTCAAATGTGATGACTATTAGTTATTGTAATGTTTTAAATACCCCTAGAATAAGTGACCATTATATTTTGACTGTTGGTATTGAAGTCTGGAGCAGAAAAAACCAAGAGCCCTTTTTTGTTGAAACTCGTGGGAGAAATATTGACTATAGGGGTGTGCAGAAAAAACTCTTAGGTGTTGACTGGGTGTATGGTAATATTGATGTAAATGTTAAGTGTGATATGTTCCTCAATAATTGTTTGGACGCTCTGAACGAAATTGCGCCCAAGAAGAAAGTAAAAATACTGGCTAAATATAAACCATGGTGAAATGAAAGAGTTGAGAATGCTGTAAAGGAGAGGGATGAATGGTACAAGAGGTATAAAGTTGACAATTTAGAGCTAACTCGTGATATATATAAACAGAAAAGAAATAATGTTGTGAGGGTGATTAAGGATGAAAAAAGGAAATATTTTGAGGCAAAGGTTGATGGTTGTAAAAGTAACCCAAAGGAAATGTGGACGGTACTTCAACAAATTATCCCTTCAAAAAATAAAAACAGTATAGAATTTGTTGAATTTGAAAATGGTGAATGTGAGAATGATAGTAGAGTAATTTGTGAGAGACTAAATGAGTACTACGTTGAAAGCATAAGGAATATATGTGAACAAATTCCAGATACAATTGAGTTAAACGCAGATTATGATGAACAGCATGACCTCATTTTATCAGATTTCAGCCTAATTACAAGGGAAGAATTGAAAAGCATAGTATTTTCTTTCAAAATCAAAAAAAGTCCAGATGATTTGAATATTGAATTATTGAGAAACATATATGTGGGAATTGAAGATCCCCTAATAAATCTAATAAATTACTCTTTAGAAATAGGTACTGTCCCTGATAGGTTGAAGGTGTCTACTGTGGTGCCAATTCAAAAGAAACCTAATGTGAATGTAGCATCCAATTTTCGACCATTATATATGCTGGCGGCTGTGGAAAAAATTCTTGAAAGGGTGGTATATGTGCAATTAATTGATTTTGTGGAAAGTAATAATTTGATAACAGGTAACCAGTCCAGATTCAGAAAAA